GGCTTTCAGGCTCTCCACACCACCATTGCCTCTTTCTACAGACCGGCTCCAGCTCCTCCGAAGGAGAAGGAGAAGCACTCGACCCAGCTCAGGTGTGGTTGGGGGTGGGAGGGGAAGAGGGCCTCCACTCAGCACCCCAGGCCCACCTGGCCCCTCTGGCTGCAGCTGACACTCTTACACACGGGGGGGGGGGTAGAGAACAACTTCCTTTCCCTGGCCCTGATGTTGGGGGCCCGGAGGGAGTAGGCAACCCTGCCTCAAGCCTCAAATCCTTGGGGTCATGGCCTCCTCCCGCAACCCCGACAACTGAGCCCCTGCCAGTACGGAATGGGCACGTTCACGTCCCTCGGCAGGATCACGCTGGGCAAGTCAAAGGCCCCTCTGCCTGACCCCCCGAAGAAGACCCAGGCCCAGCAACTGGAGAAGCCCCCGGGCAGGTGAATGTGGCCTGGGGGGAGGAGCGGGGAGGCACCCACCAGGCAGCGGGCATGCTGGTGTGCCCACCTGTGGAAAGGGCCTCCTGGGGGTGGTGGGCGCATGTCTGCACATCTGCACTGCACGGAGCCTTTTCTGCAACCTTCCTTGTGCCCCCCCTTCCCCCCGCCTGCAACTCAAGGGTCCAGCTTGTCTGTGAGAGGCTGAAAGAAACTTTCCCACCTAAGGCTGATTTGGGGGGGCAGAGAGCAAAGAATGTCGGGGCCAGCCTGCTCCACCGCCGCCATTGGGGACAGGCAGGAGGTCTCCAGGCTCTTCCCAGCCCCCCTCTCACATTCCCACATTCTCCATGGATCCGGCCAGGCCCTGCAACATACCCTTATAAGGCAGGGCTGTTGTGAGGCTGCTCTTTTCCTTGCCTCCACCCTCCGCCTGCCTCCCTTCCCTCTTCCTGCGCCTTCAGGCTGCCTCTGCTCCCTTCCACCCTCCCCAGGTGCCCCTGCCTTGTGCATCCTCACCTTCCTGCCTCCCCCCCCCCAAGATGGGACCCCCCCCAAATCTTATGGGAGAGAGACTCTGCTTGCTTCCCTTCCAGTCAGCAAGCTGTATTGGGGGGGCTGACTGGCTGTGTTGGGAGGGGCTCCTCCAGCAAAGTCTCAGGCAGACTGCATGTATTGGGGGGGGGGGCTTCTGGTCCTCTGTCCTGAGACAGGCTGCAACCTCCCTGGGGGCTGTGCCTGATGGGGGTGGTGGGGGTTCTGCAGAGGTGGCATTCTGCTCAGCTCCCCAAGATGAAGTGTCCGTCTGTGGGTCACTTCCCATGATTTTAGAAGGGAAGCAGAGGGTGCCCCCCCAAGCGGCCAGGATCCAGGTGTAACCCACCTGTCTTCCCCTTCCTTTCTCCCTCTGCAGGCCACCCTCCCCTTCTCTGTAGGAGATGGCCAGAGGGCAGCTGGGTGTTTGTGTGGTCATTTCTGGGCAGCGGCTCTTAGTTAAATATTTCTAGATGGACACATCCTTCCTTCCCCCCTCCCCATGGCTTGGGGGGTGCTTCTCCTGCAGGAGAGTGAGCCCCTCCCCCTTCCTGCCTCCCTGACCTTTGATCGCCTCTGCCCCATGCCCATCCCTGGCCCAAATGCAAGCAAGCTTTTGCACAGGAGCCCAAATAGAGTCCCACAGACTAAAACAGCAACAGCATCTCTGGGGCTTCCTCCCTCCCGGTGGGCGTTGGGGACGGGCTTGTTGGGGACGGGCCTCTACCGCTGCTAGATGTCCAATGGGGAGGGGGAGCATTTCTCTGGCCTGGGGGAGGCTGTCTGCAAGTTTATGCTGGGTGCAAATGGGAGGGGGCAGCCTGTCTTGGACCAGATGAAGAGATCCACCCTGCCCAGCTGCAGAAGGGGGTGGTGTCCCCCCACGGAGCAGGGTAGATCATCTTCATGCCATCCATCCGAGGGGGAGGTTGGGACTTTTCCCCTTGTGCAACAACAGCCTGGAAGGAGCCTCTTTTGACACAACCTTCGGGCTTCCTTCCTTGCATCACTGCCCTTGTGGTTAGATTGCGCTTGGACCAGGCGGAGCAAGAACTGAGCATCTCTCTCGGAGGGTGCGGGGCTGATTTGACGGGGGGGGGGTTAGGGGGGGCGGCATTGCTGAACTGCCATCGATAGGCAAATTCTTGGCCTTTTTTTTTTTTCCCCTGTGGTAGATTCTGAGCTGGGCTTAGCTGAATATGCAGCAACAGCCCCAAAAGCTAATATAATCCTTGGTTCTATAAACAGAGGCATAGACTCAAAATCACGTGAATTATTAGTACCGGTTTATAAAACTTTTAATAAGACCAGATCTGGAATCCTGCATCCAGTTTTGGTCACCACAGTACAAAAAGGATGTTGAGACTTTGGAAAAAGTACAAAGAGCAACTAAGACAATTAAAGGCCTGGAGACAAAAATATATGAAGCACGGTTGCAGGATTTGGGTTGGGCTAATCTAAAGAAAAGAAGGACTAGGCGGGACATGATAGCAGTGTTCCAGTACTTGAGGGGCTTCCACAAAGAAAAGGGGGTCCACCTATTTTCTAAAGGATTTTAAGACAAGACAATGGATCTAATCAAGGAGAGAACCAACCTAGAATTAAGGAGAAATCTAACAGTGAGAACAATTAACCAGTGGAACAGCTTCCCACCAGAAGCTGTGGGTGCTCCAACACTGGAGGTTTTTAAGAAGAGACTGGGCAGCCACTTGTCTGAAATTCTATAGGGTCTCCTAATTGAGCAGGGGGTTGGACTAGAAGACCTCCAAGGTCCCTTCCAGCTCCATTCTGAATGCGATGAATGCATTTACACAATCAATCCTAGCTTGTGGGCTTAGCCCAATAGGTGAAGGCAGTGATTCTGTGGGTTCCATCCAGGTGTGTCCAGCTTCAGGCACCTGTAAGTAGAACTATCTGGCAGGATTAAGCAAGCCAGGGGCTTCTGGACCACATTGTTCATGCTAAGCAGGCAACGCGTGTGCAGTGGGACGTGCATAATGCGCTGGGGCTTTGAGAGTGGAAAAGCAGGGAGTTGTGTGTGAGCTGCAGCCTCACCTCCGGCTGCCAGGAACCTTCGCTCTCACCTGCCCTACTTCCCCTCCAGGTGTGCCAGGCCTCTGTTCTTTCCTGGGGCACAGAAACTTGCTCAATCTTCCCTTCTAATGAAAGGCTGCTGCTGCTGCTTTCAGGAAGCTGGTTTTTCTCAGTACCTCATTTTGCACAACCTCTTTTTTTTTTTTTTTTTTAAACCTTTGTGAATTGCTGCGATAGTTTTGGACAAATTGCCCTCTGCACCTGGTTCTTTTTTCGAGCAGGGCTCTCCAACTTTGGCCATGCGCTGGCTGGGGAATTCTGGGAGTTGAAGTCCACCAGTCATAAAAGGGCCAAGTTTGAGGAATGCTCCGCTCGGCTGCTGCCCTCTTTGCCAGACCATGGAGCAGATTCAGAAGGTCCCCGGGGCCTTTGTGGCTTTAACCCTGCCCTTCCGGCCAGCGGGAGCAGCCCGGGAGCCACAGAAATCAATGTCTCGGGCCTCCTCTCTTCCCTCCTCCTTTTCCAGTGAGGCAGCTGTTGGCAGCTGGGCTGGGCTCTGCCCCAACCTGCCTGGAGGTCTGGCTCTCCCAGTTCAGGGGAGGGAGGGGCTGGGCCTGGAGAGCAACTGCCTGGCAGGAAGAACTCACTGCTGGGGAAGGGGGGCTTGGAATGTGTGTGTGTGGGGGGGCTCCTGCTTTGTTCTGGCTAGGGCTGATTTCCCTGGAGGCAAACGTGCAATGGCCCCACACAGCTGGAATGCTGCTGCTGCTGCTCCTCCATGGGCAGCTGTGCCTATAACTGGCAGTTTAGAGTTCATCTGTGGGCATTTCTTTCTGTGCCACCCCCAGCAAGATTTCTTCCATCCCAGGCTTGCTTGCCTGGGCCTTCCGCTTTTCCTATTTTGCAAGTTACTGCAATTCCTCCGGCTTCTTTGAGGAAAAATTAAGAACTCACTGAGCTTTGTCTTCCTTCCTTCCTCCCTCCCTCCCTCTATTTCTCCCTCCCCATAGAAGGAAGAAGCTGGCAAAATTAGCCTCCTTTATCTAAATTTCAGATGGGGGGGGAGAGAGGGCTGCAAACAATACAAATTTTTTGACAACATGCAAATACTTTTGCATACTTCACTCTTAATCCTTTTTTGCATATAGACCACAAAGAGCCCCTCCCTCTCTGACAATGGAGGATTTTATGGGCACTTTTCCTACTCATGAATTGTTCTCATTCAGAGATGCTGCATCTTCCTGGCCTGAAGGGTTTGGGTGGGTTAGAAATATGAAATGCAAATAAATAAATGTAACCCTCTGCAGCTGAGGAGGATTGGCTGGGGGGTGCACAGCCCCGAAGAACCAGCTGTGCAGCTTCTGATGGGCGTATTGGGCAGTGTCGCACCCGGGATCCTAAAGGGAGAGGAAGCCCCTTTGCCCGACTGGTCCCTCTCTCGTCCCCGGAAAGTTCCTTTCTGCAGTTCTGCATTGCAGCTGTAGCTCCAGGGCAAGACCTTGCAAAGCCAGCTGGCCAGCCTGAAGGGGGTCTGGGCTGGGGACAACTTTGTCTGTCTGTGTGCGCTTCTCAGTGCTGCTCTGGCAACAGCTGCACCCAATTTTTGCCTTGTCTTTTTAACTTCTCTCCACGCTGCCCCATGTAGTTCACATCAAGGGGGTTCAATTTTGGCAACTTTTAAGACTTGTGGATTTAATTCCCAGAAATCTGTGAGGGGAATTCTGGGAGTTGAATGCACAGGTCTTAAAAATTGCAAGGTCGGACACCCCTGGTCCACACTTGAAGGTCAGGTGTGAATTTGTATGTGAACACATCTAACGCAAATGCAGACGAGACGGGGGTTTTGTGACAGATGGGCACCGTCTATGGGAGCAGTGGGGCTGAATTCAGTGATGGCGAAGGACTGCTGAGCGGGCGATGTGACTTACGGAGCTGTGCCCCTTGGCACTGCCTGCCCCATTCATGCTTCATCTCCCCCTCCTCTCTTTCTGCCCCCAGCGAGTCTGTGGTCTGCAGCACCCGTGCCACGGTCATGCTCTACGACGACGCCAATAAGAAATGGGTCCCGGCAGGAACTGGTGCCCAGGCCTTCAGCCGCATCCAGATTTACCACAGCCCTGCCAGCAACACCTTCCGGGTGGTGGGCCGCAAGATGCAGCCCGACCAGCAGGTAACTCCACCCCCATGTTTTTAAATATCCCCCCAGGCCCAAACATCCAAGAGCTGGTCTTGAGGCTGTAAAGCTTCCCCTGCTCACCAGTCAGAGTTTGTGTACGTGTGTGTGCATGTGTTTGTGTGTGTGTGTGTGCATGCATGCACCCTCTATTTTTACCTCTGTCCACCTATTAGATTCCCCCTCAGGCTGATGGAAGAAGTCCAAGCTGACTTTCTCAGCCTCTGATTTAAAATCCCGTTCTATTGGGAAGTAGTGTCTTTCCGAGTTGTTGCAGGTAATCCTCGACTTACAACCACAATTGAGCCCAAAATTTCTGTTGTTAAGCGAAACAGTTGCTAAATGAGTTTTGCCTATTTCTTGCCACAATCGTTAAGTGAATCAATCACTGCAGTTAACTTAGTCACATGGTCGTTAAATGAATCTGGCTTCCCCCATTGACTTTGCTGGTCAGAAGGTCGCAAAAGGGGATCACGTGACCCCAAAGGGACGCTGCGACCGTCATTAATGTGAACCAGTTACCAAACACCTGAATTTTGATCACGTGACCATGGGGGGGGGGAATGCCGCAACGGTCGTTAAGTGTGAAAAACGATCATAAGATCCTTTTTTCAGGGTTGCCACTAAATGAACTGCTGTAAGTCGAGCACTCCCTGCATCACAATCCATGGTTAATAAAAACATGAATTCCCCCAACGGAGCAAAGTGTCGTGGGAACGCAGTCCAGGGCAGCGGAGTGGCTCGCATCCGGAGCCTTTCCTCCAGCCCCGGAGCCCCCATAACCTCTGCTGGGCCGTGGGAGGGGAGGAGCGGGGGGGGGGGCTGCCAGGCGGGCATGGAGGGGGGCTCTGCCCAGGGCAGCCCCCCAGGCGCAGAGGGCCTCCTGAGCTCAGCCGCTCTGCCCGTGCCCGCAGGTGGTCATCAACAGTCCCATCGTGAAGGGGCTGAAGTACAACCAGGCCACGCCCAACTTCCACCAGTGGCGCGATGCCCGCCAGGTCTGGGGGCTCAACTTCAGCAGCAAAGAGGATGCCAGCCAGTTTGCCAACGGCATGATGCACGCCCTGGAGAGCCTGGATGCCGGTGAGGCCCGACGGGCTGAGTGGGGCAGGCACTGGGCTTGGGGGCGGAGGAAGCTGTGCCAGGGGGAAAGGCCAGGGTCTTTCTGCGCCTCTCCCCGAAGGGTGGGTGCTGGTGGTTTCTGTCCCTGGGGGGGGGGCAAAGTCAGGTGGGTATCGGAGCTGGCAGGCGGGGGGGGGGCTGCTTGGCCTGGAAAAGACCTGAACTGCTGGTTGGACTCAAAGATGGGGTACAAACCTGTTTTTGGGTGGATTCTGTCTCCCCAGGAAACTCTGCTCCCCCCCTGCGCCCCACCCAGAACGGACCCACTGCAGATGAACTGGCAGAGCAGCAGAAAAGGTACAGGAAGTCTCGGCCAGGTTGAAAAGTTGCGGGGGGAGAGGGGGGAGAGAGCCCGAGGTTCCTTGCAACAAGGAGGAAGTTTCTGTTACTTCATCAAACAGGAGTGGAGGGGAAGAAAAGGATTATTGTTCTCACTTCACTCAAGCCACACGCTTAAAAAAAAAAAAAAAAAAAAAACAGCTTTCCTTTCCCAGAGTGGAAGGTGCTGGGCTCCCCTTTTGCCATGGGGGGAGCGGGGGCCGCAGGAGACCCCCCTGGCCCAGTCTCCCTTTGGTGCTCGCAGTGCCTTCTTAGACACCACAAGAATTGCCCAGAGCAGAAAGCAAGGCTGTGTCTGTGATTGTGTGTGTGTGAGATTGTGTGTCTGTGTGTGTGTGTGTAAAGGCCCTCCTTGATCAGATTAGCAGCTAATCAGCTTGCAGGGATCCCTGCTGGGGTAAGACCAGCTGATTCAGATGTGCTCCACCTCGTCCCCTGGTGATGTGTGGCGTTCCCCTTTCCAGCCTCTTGCCCGAGCCGCCCGACCCCCCGCCAAAGTGAGTGCGGTGGGCGAGAGAGGGGGCCGTGGGGGCTTTTGAGCAGGAGGCCTCCCCGGGGCTGCCAGCGGGCACTGAGGCCTCTTCTGCCCTCTTGATCCCAGGCACCAACTGCAGCTGGAGAAGGAGCAGCCGGAGCAGGCAGAGCGGGAGCGACGGGGGCCCATCGGAGGTAGGTGCCAGGGCTGGAGGTGGGGGCATCAGCCCCTCGCCTGCCCTCCCCCCCCCCAGGCTTCCAGGATGCAGATAGGGGGAGCTCCTGTCAACTCTGCATGGGGCAGAGATCCCCAGCCTGGTCACTTTAAGGCTTGTGGGCTTCAACTCCCAGAATTCCTCAGCCAAAATACTGGGAGTTGAAGTCCACAAGTCTTAAAGTGGCTGAGGTTGGGAATCTCTGGCTTAGGGGACTCCCCTCGGGGCGCCCAAAGAATGACCCAGTTATGCCCCTCCCCCACTGGGTGCTTGGCAGAAGCAGGCACTAGTTGGGGAAGAGGGCTCTTGGCACAGGGGGGATGGGCAGGTGAGGATTTTGATTTCTACCTTTTGGGAGGGGGACAAGGCTGCCACAGCTGGGGGCTCCCATCCTTCCCTCTCTCCTTCTCTTGCTGCAGCCCCTCAGGTTGCCCCTCCAGCGGGGGGCCCTCCGGCACCCCCGGGACCACCTCCAGCCCCCCCTGGGCCACCACCAGGACCTCCGGGGCCACCGCCAGGAGCCCACAGCGGCCCTCCCCCTCCTCCTGGGCCACCCCCTCCTCCAGGCCCACCGCCTGGCCCTCCGCCCTTAGGAGGGGGGCCACCCCCGGCCCCTCCCCTCCCTGCTTCCCTGGGCCCAGGTGGAGGGGCTGGACCACCCACCGGCTTGGCCGCAGCTCTGGCAGGAGCAAAGCTGAAGAAGGCGGGCAGGGTGAGTCTCCTTGGGCCCCTGTGCCAGGCCCCCAGCAGGCCATGGGGGGGGGAGCTGTGCCTCTTCCTGTGATGGGGCAGCCCCCCCGAGGCAGCTTTCCTGCGGGGGTCCTCTGGCAATGGAGATTGCAGGCAGGGAGAGGGGCTGCGTGTTGGGAGGGCATTGGTTTGGGGGAGCCACCTCACCCCCGCATCTTCCCACTCCTGCAGGAGGAAGGAGCAAAGCCCGCACCTGGTGGAGGCGCCCCCCCCAGCGCTCCCGGGGGAGGGGGGCTGATGGAAGAAATGAGTGCCAAGTTAGCCAGGCGGTGAGTGGGCACAGCTCTGGGGGAGGGGTGTCCATTGGGAGGACAGCCTGGCTGTGGGGACTTCTCAGGTTGTGGGCTTTGCCCCCCGACCTGGCATCAAAAGGCTCTGTAGGAGATGGGGGGGGGGCTGGCTTTGCAGGCCAGAAATGCCGCATTTTGCCCTCCCAGGGCTGAGAAATGGTTTTGTCCGGGGGGGGGGCTGGAAGCCCTGGCTGTTGGTGTGTGTGTCCGGGCTCATGGGTGCTGGGCAGGGTCCCCATTGCTGGTCTGGTATACCGTATGGCCTCTTGTGAAAGTCATTGGCTGGCAGGCAGGGTAGGGAGGGGGTCTCGAAGGACAAGGTACCTGCTTCCAGAAAAAAAATAACTAATTTGCATTTTCCTTCTGCAACCAAAATTATTGTGCCCCTGAAAGTCAGTGTTTTTGCTGCAGAGTTTCAGCTGCAGAGTCTGGGTGTCCTGGAGAGGGTTGGGGTCTCCCATACAGCCAATGGCCTGCAGGATGTCTTGCGCAGCCGGGTCTGCATCGACTTTGCAATATGCTTTGGGCACGAGGATCCTGGCACTCACCCCACCCCTCCCTTTTGGGAGCGATTTCAGTTCCCCCCCCCTCCTCCTCACGCTCTTAAACATAAGCCTGGGGGTCTTGTCTGCCCGCGGAGGGGCCGTGCAAAGAAGAACCATTCTGGGAAAGAAGCTTAGCATCTTTCTGTCTCTCCCCCCTCCCCCCACCCCCCAGAAGGAGAGTTGCAGAGCAAGGCGAGAAGACCATTCCCAAAAAGGAGGAAGGCCCTTTGCACGTGAGTCTGGGTGGGGCCCCCAAATGTACCTTCCCACCCCGATCCGTTGGAGGGCAAGGCCTGCCGGCTGCACGTTAGGGGTGGGGGTGGGGGGCAAAATTCGGTCTTTGCAGCCTCTGCTCCCCCTCCAAAACACCGCCAAGCCCCTTTGGTCCTGTGGCTGGGCTGGTACGCCCACCTCCCATGGCTGCGTGGCTGTGGCGTGCCAGGCGCCCATCACACTCCAAGTCAGACCAGCAAAACAACACCCTTGTACCCCCACTTCCCACCCTTGTGCCCTCCTGGTTCTGCTGCCCCTGCCAAAGGGGTCTTGGTGGGAAGGAGGAAGCAGGGAGGGGCACTGAGGATGAGTCCAGAATGCCCTGACCTTTGCCCCTCTCTTTTGCCCCCAGCAAGAAGACGCTGATGCCACTGGTGCCAAGCCCACAGGTGGGTGAACGAGGGCTGGTGCAAGACGTTCCTAGGGGACACCGCTGGTTCCTGCCACCCCCCTGGATCAGCACAGGCAGGAGGAGACAAGCCAGCTCAGCTGGCTTAACCTGGTTACTGAATCGGCCCATTTCCTGGGTTTGCCCAACCTGTTAAAATACCGAGGTACTAGAAAGATAGCTAGGATTAAAACTAGCTATCTTTGGCAGGTTGTGTGAATTAGTCACCATGTTTGCAACTGATTAAGTCAACACCCAAAAGGTCAGGTCTCCCCAGAGCATCATTTCAATGTGGGGCCTTCTGTCTTGATGGGAGGGTCTCTTTGTAAGGTTTCTTCCCCCCCCCCAAAAGGGGAATGTTTTCCATCCTTTCCTCCCTCAAACAGCAGTTATGGATAATCTCTGCCTTCTTTCCTTCAAAAAACATTCTAGTCCTCATGAAAGGATCCCCCACGCTTTGTATGAGAAAAGGAGAGCAGGTGCATAGCAAGAAATAGCTGAAGGCAGCTCAACAAGTGAGCCAAGCTGCATGGAAGCTTTTAGTGCTGGAACTCTATAAAGAGGGCGAAGAGCTAAAAAGGATGTCAGGACGAGGGGCTGGGCTGCTTCCCTTTCTGTAAGATCCTTGCGGTTAGCAAAATGGAAGAATCGCTTCTGAGGGAAGACTCTGGACTGAAGCACGAATGGAGACGATCTCGCACCCAAAACACGCTCTCCAAAACCTTCCCTCTCTTGTTCATTACAGATGCCTTCCGGAGACCTTGGGAGAAGTCCAGTACAACCTTACCCAGGTGAGGGGCATCCCCCCCCCAGTTGCTCTGACAGCCCTGCAGTGGGAGGGGCTCTTCTGCCCCCCCCCCAACCTGAGTTCCTCGCAAGCAGCCCCAGAGCGAACAGGGACAAGCTGAGCCTCCTTGTGCACGCGCAAGGACCCCCCGATCCTCCCCCCACCTCCCAGCCTGCAACTGAGTCTCTCTCTTCCCCCCATCAGGACAGCCGTGAGCCAGAAGACCACTGCGCCCCCCGCCACAGGTCGGCCCCAGGTCGGCCACTTTAGGTATCAGGCAGGAGGGGCTGGGAAGCCAGATACGTACAGCAGGGGAGGGCAGCTTGACCGGTGGACTTCAGCTTATGGCTGGCTCAGGAATTCTGGGAGTTGAAGTCCACCGGTCGTCGGATTGCTGCAGGTGCCCACCCCTGCCATACAGTGGATTTTCTGCAGAGGTTGGGGCCAGGAGCTTTTCTACTTGGGAGCCCCAAAGACCCCAGGATGCCCGTCATCCCGGCTGGTTGGACGCCAGGGGACTGTTGGCTGGAGGGGCTCCAGCTGGGAAGGCTGGGCTGTGGAGTCTCCCTTTGGTTTGCTCACTTCCTGAAAGGCCCAGCCTCAGGGCGAGAACAGGACCCCTTCCTGCCCCTGCTGGCATCGTGCCGAGCCATCCCCAGGCCAGGGGGCAGGGAAGGGGGACTGGAATCTCTCCAGCAAGGCAGAAAAAACTTTTTCTCTCTTCTGCCCCAGCCAGCCCCACCTCCAGGGTGAAAATGGTGCCAGGAAGAGGGTCCCAGCCCCTCCAGCCCCCTTCCCTCCCCGGGCTCCTTTTCCCCAGAGCCTGCTAGTTTTGGAGCTGCCGGTGCCCCACATCTGGCTGCTTTTGCTTCTGGTTCTCTCTGGCTGTTCGTTCAACATCTGGGTGGAAGAGAGCTCTCCTCCCCCCCAGGATGAAGCCCCTCCCTTTCTGCTTCTTGGCCTTCAGCGTGGAGACGCTTGCTGGAAGGGTGGGCATCTGTGCCCGTCTGCTTTGGACTCCCTCTTCCTGGGTCACCCACCCCTCCTGAAAGGGCCCCTCAGAAGACCCGGCTCTATCTTCTGCGAGGTGAAGGTGGGCTGTACCTCGGGGCGTCCTCTCCACCCAACAAAGGAGGCTATTTGTAGCTCAGGGTTGGACTGAGGGGGTCCTGGGTGCTCTCTGAGCTGGTGGTTTTCTTGCAGGCGTTTTATGACCCAACTAGGGAACGTCATCAGTGCTACTGAAGTTACCTAGTTTGGATAATGAAACTTCTGCAAAAGAACAGCCACACTGAGAGAGCACTGAGCAGCCCTCACTCAGCTCTGTGCAAACAAGCCATTTGTTGCCCCCTGCCAGTCCTGAACCCTCTACCTGGCTTGGAAGGTGTTGGAGTGGCCTTGGTGTTGGGGGTTCTCAGGAGGGGGGGGGCACCTGCAAAGATGGCTGGGTTCCCTGATCCTGCCCTTCTCATCGTCCTAGGATGAAATCTGCTGGAGCCATGACGGCCGGAGAGCCCGCGGGTGGCGCAGGGGATGAATCCGAGCTGGAACGGGTGAAACAGGTAAGCCCACGCCCAGACCTGGCACCCTGGGCTGACGCTGCCTGAGACCCTGCAGCCCGGTTCACACATGCTCCTTGCACAACTAGCCCTTTGCACCATGGGACTCTCCTGGGTGCTCCTTATTCAGGGCTAACAGGACCTGGTAGGGATGGTGGGGGGAGACGTGGTCGGGAGAAGGGGCATCTCGGATAAGCGGCACTCATGCCAGCCTGCCAGTGGGTCCCTGCTGGCATCAGGAAGTTCTGGTTTCAGTGCTGGAGAGATCCAGCCTTGCAGTTTCTCCCTGGCTTGCTTGTTGTAAGTCACATGCATGCGCGCGCACGTGCACACACACACACACACACACACACACGTTACACAAAGACACAGGTTCCTTTTCCTAATTGTGCATCCTTTCCCCAGGAACTTCTGCAAGAGGTTCAGCGTGAACTACAGAAAGTCAAAGAGGAGATAATCCAAGGTGGGTTGGAGGGCAGCCAGAAGGCCCCCTTGAGGGTCAGCAAAGGGCCGGGCAAATGCTCACCTTCCCAGCCCAGTCCAGTGCCCTTCCACCCTCATCCTGGACGAGTGGGGCAGCCCCCATGGCCAAGCTGGAGCAGCAGGACGAGAAGGGCCATGAACTCTTTGTGTGGGAAAGCCCCATGGAGAGGGTGGGTGCCCCAGAGACCGCGTCAGGGTAAAAACAGTGAGGGACATCCCCACCAGCTCTGCCTGGGGATGGTTTGGGGGGCTCCTGGGGTAGAGAAGGCTGACCCAGCTCTGCTGAATCGTCCAAAACTGACCCGAGTGTTTCTCTCCCCCTCTGCAGCATTCATCGCAGAGCTTCGGAAGAGGGGGTCCCCTTAGCCCCCAGACCCAGCCGGTGCCACCCGGAGTCAGCAGTCCAATTCTCCCTCTTGCGCAGAAGAGAATAAAATGGAAAATCACAAAGGCCCCCTCCTCACCTTTCCAGTCCCCTCACGCACCAGACAAGCCCCCATGCACCCGCTTCCCTGTCGGCTCCCACCGTGCAATTTTGGGGCGAGAGAGGGACAATCCGTGCTGTCCCCCACCCCAGGAAGGGCAGGACCCCCACCTGTGCCTTACCCAGAGCAATAGCAGGACCCTCCCCGACACCCCTCCCCAAGGAAGGAAGCGGGCTCTTTCCCTGGCGGAAGGGGCTCCTCTCCTCTCACTGGGCCAGTCCAGGAAGGGCCAGTCCCTCTGCCCCCTCCCTTTTGGGCTCTCAGACAAGAACTGTGGTTTCCTCCCCCACCCCAGAGGAGGGGCTGGCAAAGGGCCCAGGGAAATACCCTTGACTGAAGCCAATGTTGGAGGCTCCCTTCCTGCAGCTTGCAAGGACCAAACTGGGCAGTTCTCCTGGGTGGGGGTCCATCTCCCCCCTCTCCCGGGAGCGTTTCTGAGCCCCTCCATTTTCCTCCTGCAGAAGAGGCGGCATGAGTGACAGGCAGAGCAGAGCCAGGTCCCGTGGCTGCAAACGGGGTGCCCTGTGGCAGCTGGCCGGGAAGCCTTGGCTGAGATGCCCCCTGCCAGCCCCCCAGGTTGGGAGCGCTGCTCCTGAGGAGGGTGCCCCTCCTTCCAAAGATGGCGCTCTTCTGGGCAAGGGAAGGGCCCTGTCAGTCCCCCCACACGCTTCCCAAGACCCTTTCCGCATTCCGTGTCTTCTGCTGGTTTCACTCGGTTTTGTAACTCTTTGATTTTATGCAAGGGGAGAGGGCACTTTTTAAGGTATTTTTTCTCAAAGGCCCCCCCCCCCTCTGGGTCTTTTTTTTTTTTAATAAACAGGTTTTCACCCTTCTACCTCCTTCAGGCCATGGAGGGAAACAGGGCGGGTTCTTGGCTTTTCTACTGAGCTGTAATTTTTTGACTTTTGTTTTTGTCAAGCTGGATAGAATATTATATTTTGATTTTATTATTATTATTGTTATTACTGATCTGCTGGGTTTCTCTGCCCGACCTCTTTGCACCCTTCCGCCACACCGCACGCATCGCCTGCAGATGGGCACTAGGACCTCGGGCACGTCCACCAGACTTCTCTTACGAATAAATCTTTTCCTTTTTGTAAAGTTACAAAACGCTTTGGCATCTGCACGTTTCCTTTTGTTGAGCTTGCCAGGGCAGAATTCCTCTGGGCTTAAGTTCTCTGTGAGGACTTGGAAAAGCCTCAACCGGTCAGGGGAAGGACTCAGCGGTGTTTGGGGAGGGCCCTGGGGCGGAGGGCCGCACGGGAGGCCTTTGGCCTTGTTCACAATACAGGTCTTCCTTGACGAGTGATCATAATAGAGCCTGGGATTTCCATTGCAAGATCATGACGGCCATAAGTCAAGGCACCCGCAGGCCTAGGCCTGATCTTACAACTTATTTTGTGTAGATTCTTATTTCTGCCTCTTAAACCAGAGGTCTCCAAACCTGGCAACTTTTAAAAGTTGTGGACTTCCCTCCACAACCTGCCACCTGAATTTAAGAACAAGGTGCTGTGATCAACTCTGATGGACACAGTTGTGGCAGTGATGAGTACTGGCAATCCTCAACTTGCAACATTCATTTAGTGACTGACGTTAAAATGACAACTGAAAAAAGTGGCTTCTGCCTAATCCTCACACTTTTATGAATGTTGCAGCACCCTCGGTCACATCAAAATTCAAGCATTTGGCAACCGGCATGTGTGTATTGCAGTTGCAGCATCTGGGGATCACATGATCAAAACCTGCAACCTTCCCATAATCAAAGTCATTGGAGGAAGCTCTAATGACTACTTGACAGCAGGCAGCGGCAAAAAAAGGTTGTAAAATCATGCAACTCACTTTAACAACCCCTTAGGGGAGAAAATTCTGGTCCCAATTGTCATAACTCGAGGACCGCCTGTACACCACTGGAGGACATCTTTGCAAGAAGCCGGTCTCTGGCAGTATTTCTTACGCTGACTAGGGAATTCTGGGAGTTGAAGCCCCCACTTCTTAAAAGTTGCCATGATTGGGAAAACCCATCGGGTTGCTAAGAGTCAACGTTGATACTACATCATCAACCCACATGGCGTCCAAACATCCAACCTGCTTCCTGATAAATCCAGTTTCCTCCCCAGCTCCAGCATCAGACCTGGGTGGCTGCTTGTTCTCCAGAAAGAGCAGCAGCTGCCTCACCCTGAGCAGGGCAGTTCTATCCTGGGGCTAAAACTGCTAAAAACCTTGAGGAGGGGGCCGGAGCCGTTCCAGACCCCGCCCTGGTTGTGACAGAAGGAAGGAAACCTGATCCTCTTTCTGTTGCTTTTTTAATCGATCCAATATTTACATTCTACGCAAATGCCAAGCCACTCGGTTGGGGTGCACATCCCAGCACCCCAAATCCTAACCTTCCTGCCTGTGAAGGAACGCCGACCACTCCCCTGGCAGTCTGGATCCAGCCTGGGAGACTACCCAGGAAGTGCCCCACCCTCGCCGTCCTGAGGGGCGGCAGGTTGCTACTTCTTGGGGGCGGTGGAGACCTCCACCAGCACCCGGTTCATCTCCCGCAGCCGGGCGTCCAAGGTCTCCACAGTCAAGCTGAGCTCCATCACCTGCTCCTGCAGGCCCAGCAAGGTGCTGTTCAGCTCCTCCTCCTTCTTTTTGGTGTTGGTGCTCTGGCGCGAGTATTCCAGGAAGATGCACAGCCCCCCCACCCCAAAGACGATGGCCTCGCCCAGCAGCTCGGCGCCCAGTTCTGCAGCCGCCTCCTCGTTCAGGGGCTTGATGGCGGCGCCCCGGAAGCCCATGATCCTCATCTTGGCCCGCATCTCCACCCAGTGGTAGACTGCAAGAGAAGAGGGAAGGCCTGTGGGTACCGGGCAGCCGGGGCGGGGGCAAGGCGCGCCTTTTATACTGGCAGGGGTCGCCCGACCCACCCAAGTTAAGCCCCTGGCGGTCAGCCGGCGTTCAATGGAAGGCCCCGAAAGCCTCCCGTCCCCCTTCAGAGGGGAGGGGGGATGACCCGGGGAGCCCCTGCCACCAGCTCGGAGGCAGCTCCGGAGCAGTCAGCGCGGGCCTCCGGAGGCTGGCAGGGAGCAAGGCAGAGTCCGCGGGGCCAGGATCCCGGGTGAGCAGCGGCCTTGGCTACAGGGGTCCCCCCGTCCGGGACCGCCTGCAGGCTGCGCGAACCGGACCTCCGCCAGGCGAAGAGGAAGGGAGAAGTTGAAGAAGACCGCGGAGGTGCTCCCTCCGCCGCCCTGGCACCCCCGAGGTATGGAGGGAGGGCTTCGGTCCTAAACACGAGGGAGCGCCGGGAGAACCGGGGCCGCTTCCTTTTGCCACGGGAGGGACGGAGAGGCCCAGACCAGGGCCAGGCAACCTGGGGAGAGCCCGGCCGGACGGGCTGAACGTCCCTAAGCCAAAAGCCCGGCGCCCATTTGGAGAGCGATCCGACCACCTGCCGGCCGCCCATCCCGGTAGACTGCTCCTGGGACTGGAGGTGCGACGCCCCGACCACGTGCCGCTGCAAAGTCACCTTCCTCGTTCGGCGCCTGCGCGCCCCGGCCGGCCCGACTCCCCCACGCCGCCCCATTGGCCGCCGCCGCCACGGGCTCCGCCCCCTCCCGCTTCACATTGGCTACACAGGCAAGGCGGGCTATTCCCGAGCGCTTACTCACTCTGCGCGGGAGGACCGCAGATATAATGGCGGAAGAAGGGGCTGGCGCGCGCCCCGTCCTTGATGCGTGCCGCCAGGGGCTTCGAGAGCTGCCGGACGCCCAGGTAGAGCAACTTGGCGATCGGGAAGGCGCCGGCCACCATCCTGGCGCTCCCAGCGGCCCCCGCGCGGAGCGGCCCGCCAATGTCGAGCGCGCTGACGCCGGCACGCTCCGCGCGCCCCGCCCTTTACGTTGGCCTCTGGCGTCAGCTCACGTATGCAAATGAATTCGCAAATATATCCCTCCCACGCCCTCTCCGAACACGGCAGCCGCGCGAGGGGCGGGGACGAGGCCTGTGTTCAGGTAGCTTCGTTTCCTCATGAATACATAAATTACCGCGTCCTATCAAGTGTCGAGGCAGGTAGTGGCGGGCCACGCTTCCCCTCCTTGCCCATCCCTCAACGCCCAGACTTGAGGGGAAAGTGTGCCGGCCCGCTTCCGGTGTAAACTGGAAACTACTCGCTATAGAGACGTCGGGGCGGTTGGTCCTTGGCTGGTGGACCATAGATACACGAAGCAGAATGACCTGCTCGCGGGCGCCCTCCTGGCATCGCCCTCCTGTTTTTTTTGCTTCCGGGGGGGCCCCGAAAAGCCACCCCGCCATCAGTGAAGCTTTGGGTTTGCGGTGAAGGGCCGGGGAAGAGCGGGGCTCGCGCTGCAGGAGGCGGGGACTCCAAGGCTCATCGTCCTGGGCCAGAAGCCGCAGCCCCCCCAGTGAGTCCTTGCGTTCTGCACGACCCTCTTAGGCGGCCCGCAGATGGGCCGGCGAGGGAGCCTTCTCTCTCTCTCTCTCTCTCTCTCTCACACACACACACACACACTACAACTGTTCATCGAAACGGGCTAGTCTTGGGGTTCAGTTTCTGTTTATAAAGTGAGGATATCTCGCATTACCTGGCAGGAAACTGAACTTCTGCCTGAGTAACTCAACATGCTCAGGAAGCGAGGATGAAGGCAAGGGAGAGTAAATGAGGCGAGGAGATGGGTGCTCTGGGTCCTAGGAGGAGAAGCCCTGCGCCCTTCCTGGGAAGCCTCACACACCACACACACACACACACACACACACCATGGCTGGGTTTTTTCCTGGCCAGGAGACTGGCCACATGCTTGTCCCTCCCACAAACCCAGACCCCTGAACCCAGATCGGAGGGCTGTGGTTAGAGCAGAAAGGAGAGTCGGGGCACCCCAACATTAAATCACTTTTCTCTGCCCTTTTAGGTGCTGCCACGTTCTTTGCCAGAAGACCTAATTGACACCCTGACAGGGAACAGCTGCCAAGCGAAACCAAGCGCAGAAAGAAACCATCCGCAGGTTAGCTCCAGGACTTCAAACACGACTCACTTTGTTGGAAGGGTCTGGGGAATTTATAAAATCCCATGTGCATAGCAGTCCTTCTGGAGTAAAATGTCTATGAAGATTCTCAGTCCTCCAGGTCATGGTTGTCCCAAAGGTGCTTTTCCAAAGGCAACTGGACTTTCTTGGGGTTTTTTTCCTTGAAAATGTTTCACTTCTGAAGAACCGAAGAAGCTTCTTGGAAGAGAAGTAAAACATTTTCAAGAAAAAAACCAAGAAAGTCCAGTGGCTATTTGGAAAAGCACCTTTGGGACATGCTAAAGTTGAACTGAGGCATTTCAGGTCCCAACCCTGGGAAAGTCAAAGGGACCGACCTTCCCCCGCTCTGCTCCACAGACCGGCCACTGGATCCTCTTATGGACATTCCAGCAGCCAGAGGATCCAGCCAAGAGAGACAGAGAAAGCTAAATAAACAGCACCAGAAAAAGTCTCCCGTTCTGACATTCACCTTCAGAACATTTGGGGAGCTGCAAGATGGGAGATTTCAGGCAGGAGGGTGAACCCTCCTTCGCCAGTAATGATGCTGCCGCCTCCCTGTCCCAGTGGGAGTGGGCATATTTTAGGCTATCAGACCCCAAGGCAAGACATGTCTGAGATTGACAGATCCCTCCTGCTCTGGAGAGCCATGTCCACTGGCCTCACCTTTGGCCTCTTGTGTTTATTCCCATGAAGCCTCTCGGTCCAGTGGCCCTCGGTGAGGCTAAGATTAGGCTGTTCTCATCTCGGAATGTTACTGATGGTAATCTTTCATTGTCATACATTCCTGGAACAGAGAGTCATCCACGGGGTAGCCTGCTAGAAGTCCACATTGATTTTGGATTGAGGGAATTTTTGGAAACAGCTGACATGTCTTATATCTTGTCCCACACAAAGGGCTGATTCACATTGTAACACTACATATACGGTAAATTTAGCTTTTCTGAGGGAAAAAATTACTACTCTTACATCATCTTTGCTGACATAAATTAATATCCGTCCCACGCTCATTCATAAACATGCATTGAAGGGATAATTAGAGTCCACCCCTTCATCAGTTCTTAAATAATCCAGCTGTGAATGTAACAGGGAGCTGACTTCTCAGGCAAACAGGAAGAGGGGGCTGCACCCAGAAAGAAGGCTACAGATAGAACGGGCATTGGTGTCTTTCTGCACAATCAGGAGTACTTCCAAACATCTCCTTCTTTTAGGAACTGGTACCCACTGAGAGCTGCCCTCTTCTGGAAGGAAGACAGAGTCCTCCCCCTCTTCCCTTTGGGTGACGGATCAGGCCAGGCTGAGACTTAATTATGTGACAACCAATCATGGACTCTGGAAATGTTCCACTAATGACCCTTCCAGAAACTCCCTGTGTTCGGCTTCCTGTCCTAACTAGGAGATGGGAAACTATAACCAGCTAAGGAGAAACAGACGCGGGTTAATGTTTTCTTTTTCTGATGTTTGAAGGGGCCCTGGGGAAGCATTTGTGTACTGAGAACTGCTAGCTCTGGCTTGATCCATGTGCTCCTTTCGGTTGCTCTTGTTTAAAGAAGCAGACGTAAATTGGGCAAGGGAGAAAAAGCAGGAGGTTCCCAGCTTTGTTGCACAGGAACCCCTGCGTTGCCACTCAGGGCTCAAACCTTATTGCTGCTACTTCTCTAGATTAGAGAATTTATCCTTTATCTTTAGAAACCTTTACCTGTTGTTATCCCGATGTCTTAGGGTGGCAGCTTCCAAAATCACAAGCAGCCCTTTGACCTGGTTGTCTGGAAATTGAATGGAGGAAGAGGAAGGTTAGCCTAATGGAAATGGCTGGTTTTGGAGCCGTGCAAAAATGACAGAGGTGAAGATCAGAGAGAGCCCAGTGCAAGGACCTGGTGGCTCCTTTCTCATATAAGGGGAACTTGTGGAAGAGAGTGACAATAGGGTTGGGGTGGTTTTTTACACCCTTAAATGGTAAATTGTTGGATGTCGTGTCATATGGTGTCACATAGCAGGCTGATGGGAATCAGCGCAGTTTTACTGCTTGTGTCTGTGATGGGAATTTACAGGGAACATCTGGCTGGCCTCAGCATGTGAAATTTGATGGAGCTTCAGCCGTATCCCTGGGTCCCATTTTTATGTGATACAACGTGATATCGCTGATGAGGTGGTGCTATGCCGCCTGACTGTATGAGGGGAAAATTGCTCTCCCTGCTGTAGTATGGACGATACATGTGAAGTGCTTTGGATGCTTGGAAGTGTAAGAATGCCAGATATTGTTATCAATGGACTTAAGTGTGGAACGTGACAGAAACATGCGCGGACTCAGGACTGTTTTTAAATTGTTGTAATATTATTACTGGCTCTTCAAGACTCCGTTCTTTGCATCCTCAAGATGCTGCGTGGCAGAGCACCTGGTGCTTCTCCAGGAACATTCACTGCTTAAAAGTCAGGATTTTCATAGGGAGATCTTCGTCTCCCATCCCCAACCCGCCAGCCTGCGAGGAGGGCGGCAGTGGGAAGGTCAAGGGCTGCCGGCAGAAGATGCTCTTCTTGGTGGAAAGAGGGGTGTCGAGGGTGAGCGAGGCACTGGCCATCTCCTGGGGCTTGGAGCTGGTGAGGAAGCGCACCAAGGTGGAGAGGGCCTTGGCCACATCGCTTCGGGCACCTTCGTTGGCAAAGCAGTAGAGGATGGGATCCGCCACACAGTTCAGGCTGGTGAAAGCCAGCGAAGTGTGGTAAGCCACAAACATCTTCTCCTCAAAGCTGCAGTCGCATGGCCTGCTCAGGTAGACGGTGCTGCGTGAGAGCAGGATGAGGTGGTAGGGGGCGAAGCAGAAGAGGAGGATGGCGATCAGGCTGAGCGAGAGGCGCTTGATCTTCGCCTTCTCCTGCTTCTCGGTGGAGACGTTGCCGCGCACGGCTCTCAGGATCCCCTGGTAGGAGCAGAGCATCAGCATCCAGGGAAAGAGGAAGCCGATGAAGACCCGGTAGAGGTTCATCCAGGCCACCCACTCCTCCATGGGGTACTTCTCGAAGCAGAAGGTGTGGTTGTAGCGATCGTGGAAGAGCTCGTTGTGAAACAACGGGGCTGAGTTGGCCCCAATCTCGATGGTCCACACCACCAGGCTGACGGTCACCGCGGTCTTGACCCTCCGGAACTTGGCAAAGCGCAGGGGGTGTGCCACGGCCAGGTAGCGGTCCACCGAGATGCAGCAGAGGAAGGCAATGCTGATGTAGATGTTGGTGTAGAAGATGAACCCAAACAGCTTGCAGGATTCCTGCCCATGGATCCAGTTGTCATAGTGGAGGAAGTAGTCGATCCAGAGGGGCAGCGTGGCAATGTAGAGCAGGTCCGCAATGGACAGGTTCATCAGGTAGACGCCCAGCTCGTTCTTCTGCCTGACCTGCAGGTAGGCTGCCCAGAGCGCCATGCAGTTGGTGGGCAGCCCCACCGTGATGACGATGATGTACAGGGTGGGCGGGAAGAGGTGGTCTACCCTGGAGTCCACAAGGCAGCTCCAGCTGGCTTGGCTCGCGTTGCACATCCTGGAGCCCAGCTCAGCAGCAAAGTTTGCGTGGCTGGAGGTGAAGTATCCGCAGGACCAGGTGGGCCGCCAAAAGGAAGTTCCTGAAGCTGCCACGAGGAAGGGGCTCCATCATTGCCCTCTAAACGGTGCTGATAACCTTTGGCTGCCGTCTGTCCGATCTCGGGGGTTGGGCTACCGCCCAGTGGCCTTTCCTGGCTTTTCAGACCTGGGGGAAAGAACGAGAGACGGGTTGCCACTTGCATCTTTTGTGGTTCGGTTCAGAGCATAAGTCACAGAGAAATTACATGACGCACGTTTTGGGCCAGAGAGGAGAGAGCGGCGGGAACTGTGCCAGAGCCTGGGCTTGTACAAGAAAAACATATGGTGCTTTCCTGGATGTTGAGTCTTAAAATAATAATAATGTTATTGCGAGGAGCCATCCAGTCCAGCCCTTGCTGGTTCACTGCAGGAACTAAAACTGAAACTTTTCTGACAAATGGCTGCTCAGCGTCTGCCTGAAGACAAACTGCATCTCCTTGAGAGGAGACCTTAACCTCCCTTGGTCATTTGGATCCACCATCAAACCTGTCTTCCTGTTTATTTGGGATGGTAGAGAAAATGTGTGCTCCTATTCAATAGTCTCCTATCCCTCTCCTTTCTCTTTTTCAAGGCTGAACAAGTGGGGTCCTCGGTGCTCTCTGAGCTTGGGGGTTTTCTTGCAGACGTTTCATTACCCAACTAAGTAACATCATCAGCGCTCTAAGTTTGTTCCTTGTTCATATACTGTAGCTTGCCCTCTCTGTGTTGGTTAGGGTACGATGGTAGTGAAATGTCTCCATGAAAACCACCAAGCTGGGAGAGCACCAAGGACACTCCCACCCACCCCCCAGTTCAACCTGGAGCTATAAATGCTCACTTCTGAAGACTAAACACGTTCTCAGTGTCTTCTGGCAGAACTGAATTCCAACCCTGATGTTACATACATACATGCCTTTGAAAAATGGTTCTGCAGCTTCTGATGAGAGAGAGAGCTGAGAAGCCAAGAATTTCTCGGGGCAGGGAAAGGAACCTTTGGGTCCTCTAGAACTTCTGAGAATAGGGAAGTCATTGTCCTAGACCAGGGGTAGGCAACCCAAAACACTTAAAGAGCCACTTGGACCCGTTTCCCACCAAAAACAAAACACTGGGAGCCGCAAAACCATTTTGATATCTAAAATGAAGATAACACTGCATATATCCTTTTTTACCTTTATTATAGTGTGTGTGTGTTTGTGTGTGTGTGTGTGTGTGTGTGTGTGTGTATATATGTATATATATATATATGTATGTGTATATGTACACACACACACACACACACACACACACACACATACACACAGGTAAAAAAAGGATATATGCAGTGTTATCTTCATTTTAGATGTCAAAAGGGTCTCTCTCTCTGTCTCTGTCTCTCTCTCCCTCCCTCTCTATCTGCCCTTGGTCTGCCACACCTCTTCCCCAGCTCTCTTTCTTTCTTTCTCTCTCTCTCTCTCTCTCTCTTTCTCTCTCTCTCTTTCTCCCCCCCCCTCCTATCTGCTGCTCACCTGGCAAGCTTCAAGCTGTTGTCCAACAAGCAACCTCGTCTCTTTTATGACTCATGGACTTCAACTCCCAGAATTCCTGAGTCAGCCTAGCTGGGCTAGCTAGCTCTCTCCCGCCCTTCCTGCTTCCTGCTTCCTGCAGAGATGCAGCAAAGGGAGGAGCTCCGCCCAGTAAGCTTTTCAGCTCCTCGGAGAATACTGTGAGTGCACTCTCTTTTACACAGACACACAGACACACACACACACACACAAACACACACACACACAGAGAGAGAGACAGAGACAGAGAGAGAAGCAGGGAAGCGCAATTGCCTCTCTCTGTCTCTGTCTCTCTCTGCAAAGGCAGAGGAGGCTGGGAGCCACAGGGGAAGGCTCAAAGAGCCGCATGCGGCTCCGGAGCCGCAGGTTGCCGACCTGTGTCCTAGACTAAAGTGTCTCAAGATTCTTCCCTATTTTTACTGCAATAAACAAACATGCGTGTGCCCGTCCTCGGAAAGCACATCCCTTCTTCCATCAAGATCGGTGGCCTGAAACCAAATCTCAGGCCAGCAGCCCCAACACTCACGATCCGCAATCCTCAGTCTAGCAATTCTGGGGACCATATAGAGGGAGCGCCCTCCCCTTTCTTGTGGATATAACCTCACCCATTGGAAAAGGGGTGACACGTGTGGGAGAGACCCATGAGCTGGTGTGGCAAATTGGGAAGAGAAAGCACCTGAGGAAATAGAGCTGCAATTGAAATGCAGGGTCCTAAAAAGATTTTCCAAAGTCTCAACATCTTTTTTTGTAGTCACCACATTACAAAAAAGATGTTGAGACTTTGAAAAAAGTGCAGAAAAGAACAACTAGGATGATTAAGATCCTGGAGACTAAAACATGTGAAGAACAGTTGCAGGAACTGGGTTTTTCCCAAAGCCAGCCGTCTCCCTGCTGATGGTTCACACGTGTACAGCTGAAATCCGCATCCATGTGGGTGTTTTAGGGGTCTTCATGTACACAGTGCCAAGTCTGCTGCCATTAAGTCGTTTCTCAAGGAATGGCAGGTTGATTCTAGGCAGAAAAGTCTCCTGAAAAATTAATGTTGACCTTTTGGGGATGCTTAATCCTTCTGGCTGGAACTGAAGGTCGCAAGGACCCCCCTCCCTGCTAAGAGGGTTCCTGGAGGCCCCCCTGCTGGGCTCCAAAGGGCAAAGAACAACGCAGAGACAGGCTGGTGTGGCCATAGCAAGGTTTCTGCCAGCTCAGCCAGGATGTGGGAAGCAGAACCACACTCCCTATTATCCCCAAATTAAAAGTTATGCCAATTACAAGCCACGCACCAGTCCTCCCCTGCCTCCAACCACGTTTCCTTCACCAGGGATGTTTTTGGAGGTGAGTAAATACAGCTTCATCCTGTTGACAGCAAAGAAGGAACAAAATGGCCGTGTGCAGGCAGGTCGCTCAGATGTGGTGCAGGTACTTTAATGCATTTGGACGAGACGTTAGTGGACTTGAAATCTCCACCAACCGGGAAAAGGGGTCCTTGGAGAAGGACAGATCCCACAAGAAGCAGCGGGTGGAAACTGATCAAGGAAAGAAGCAACCTAGAAATAAGGAGAAACTTCCTGACAGTGAAAACAATTAACCAGTGGAACAACCTGCCTCCAGAAGTTGTGGGTGCTCCAACACTAGAAGATTTTAAAAAGAGATTGGACAACTGGTACAGAGTCTCCTGCCTGAGCAGGGGGGTTGGACTAGAAGACCTCCAAGGTCCCTTCCAATTCTGTTATTCTGTTAATGTGATCTCCATCCGCTTCCTCCAACTTCCGTGATCCTCAGCCGGCCGAGGGTCTCAGCCAGAGGTCAGCCAGATTCTGTTGTGCTCTGTACAGCCTCTGGGGCTTTGAGAAGAGAGTGGGAGGGGGCATACTGGGAAGGGGAGGGCCCTCCTGCAAGGAAGAATGGCAACTGGGGTGATGAGACTGATGGATTCTGGGCTGGGGAGATGATGTCAGAGGAAGAGAAGGATTTCCTCCTCCTTTTCCAAACCCAGGGAATGCAATCAATCCTCAAAACCATTTATCTTTCGAAGAAGAAAGGGAAAGCAAAGTTTTACTTCTACCAGCTAGTCAGCTGCTCACCATCGGTGGCCTTCCTGGAAACGGAGAGCCTGCTGTGGGGAGAGATTTTCCTGCCACCCCTGGAGGGCCGGGAGGTGAGGCGGAGGTGGGGCACCAACTGGCAAAGACCTGTTGTGGGCACATCCAGGAGAGAAGCCAGCATTATACAGGACCCGCAGGACCCTTTGGGTACTGTTAGCAGGGTGTGCTGAGTAAACGTGTGTGTGTCCTGTGAGTTTGGCGGAAAAGTCCGGCAGCTCAAATCCTGCTGCCAGAGGTACCTTCTATTTGTCAAAGCAGTAAAAAACGAGGTCAGCGTAGATGAGGAAGGAGCCTGGCAGATACTTAAATTTTCCTCAACGTCTGTAATTGCCCAGCCCCGCCCGAAAGGCTTGGGCTCAGCACATTCTCCACTTTGGGCTGCTGTGGAGGGGAAGGGAGATCAAAGGCCTTCTGTGGAAATCGTACTTCTTGTAGGAACCCTTTGGCTTTTCCGAACAGTTAATGAGCAGAACGACTTGACTCCAGACACGGGAGGTTTTTAAGAAGAGACTAGACAGCCACTTGTCTGAAACAGTGAAGCATAAGGGTAGTATAGCTGGCTGGGGAATTCTGGGAGTTGAAGTCCACCAGTCTTAATGTTCCAAGGTTGCCTACCCCTGATCTAGGGTCTTGAGCAAGGGGTTGGATGAGAAGACCTCCAAAGTCCCTTCCAACTCTGTTATTTTGTTAGTTAATCAGTGGAAAAACGCCTTCAGAAGTTATGGATGCTTCATCACTGGAGGTTGTCAAGAAGAAACTGGGCAGCCATTTATCTGGACTGGTATAGGGTCTCCCGCTTGAGCAGGGGATGGACTGGAAGACCTCTGAGGTCTCTTTCTACTATATCATTCTGCTATTCTGCTAAGCAGCAGCATCTTTGGTGGGTAATCCAAAGCAACCAGAGGCTAAAACCCAGGAACCGACCCCAAGCATGCAGCCGCCTCGGCCCTCTTTGCTCTCCGCTCTGAGCCACTATGAAGCGGACAAGAAGCTAAGCAGAAAGAGTTCATCACTGTCCTGGGGTGCTTGTGTGTGTGTGGGGGGGGGCTGAGTGCGGGAAAGGGCAGACACAACCCTAAGGAAGATGCTGCCTTTGTGTAACCAGGTGGCTTGGCTGAAGGCACCCACCGGAATCCAGGCTGACCATGGTGGGTTGACCCAGGACACCCATCTGGTCTCCCCCCACCGGGACAAGACAGCCGTAGCACAAGAAGTGTGCAAACAGAGAGTCCTGCTTCTCCCTTAAACTGTTCATATACACTGGTGTCAGCATAGTCCCAAGCTATATACAGGTAGCAATTGCAACCATTCATTTAGTGACTGAAGTTGCAATGGCACAGAAAAATGCGACTTATGACCGGTTTTCCCACCCTGGACCGCTGCAGTCAAGATTCAGGTGCTTGGCAGCTGGTTCATACTTATGACAGTCGCAGCGTCCCGGAGTCACGTGATCCCCTTTTGCCACCTTCTGATTATCAAAGTCAGTGGGGGAGCCAGATTCACTTAGCAACCATGTGACTAAGCAACTGCAACGATTCGCTTAACAACTCTGGCAAGAAAGTTGACAGAATGGCACAAAACTCACTTAGCGGGTGTCTTGTTTAGCAGTGAAAATTTTGGACTCAGTTGTGACCGTAAGTGGAGAAGGGCCTGTCTGTGGAGCCTCTCCTGGAAGGGCCACCCTTACTCGGAGGGTCGAGCCAGGGAGTCAACGTCAGGGGGTCAGTACAACCCACCCAATTTTAAAAAAGGAATTGGAGCAGTTTGTTAACAAGGAATTAAATTCTGGCTCGGCGCCTGTTACGCCAGGAGCCACACACGGCTGCAGCAGACGGCTTGCCCTAGAGGCAGAAGAAGGGCAGAAAGGGATGGGGGGGGGGGCAGGAGCTGTCTCCCTCCTCAAGGACATTGTCTTCTTCTATTACTGGCCCAAATGAGATTAAGAATACAATTCTGGACCCCGGTTCCCACCTGCTTCCGAACGGGCTGAGCAGCTGGCAGACGGCCTCTGCTGCCTGGAAGGAACGTGGCCAGCCTTGCCCCTGACCTGCCGTCCTTACAAATGTTGGAGTGTCCTGAATAAACTCTTTGCTCGCTGCTCATGGTAGGCAGGCAGGGCAGAAATTCAAGCCAGGAAATGCAGAAGACTTTCCTCTCTGGCTTGAGAAAAGGTAGCCAGCTCAGGAAGGTGGAAGTCTTACAGTGCAGATGCTGGCTAGAAGGCAGATGCGACTAGGGGAGACCTCGTAACGGCCACACTGGAGTAGAAGGAAGAGGGCGAACGGAGAATGTCCTCACTTCTGCAGAAGGTTTCAGTTAGAGTTTTCCAACTGTGGCAACTTTAATTCTGCCAGCCCAGAATTCTGAGAGTTCAAGTCCAGAAGTCCACAAGTTGCCAAGGTTGGAGACCTCTGCTCTAGTCCAGGGCTGGCTGGGGAATTCTGGGAATTGAAGTCCACAAGCCTGAAAGTTGCCAAGGTTGGAGAGCCCTGTATTTGAGGAGCAGAAAAAGAAGCAGCAGGCTTTTCTTGAACGTCTGGTGGCTTCTCTGGAGGGACACAAAGGCTGCCCTGGTTGCCTAACACGCTTCACCCGATCAGTTAAAAACCCAGCAGCTTCCTTAATTGCTTCACTTCTCTGAGGAAGCTCAACCTGCGTGAACCATCTGTTTACTCTGTGGTTCAATGTGTTTTGCAAATTCAACAAGACATAAAAAAAACCAACGTCAAGCTAAGTGTCCTGTAAAAATTCAATTTGGACTTTATGAATTTGTTCCCATTTGAGATTTTCCTCCCTTTCCGTGTCCACGTCTGAGACCAGTGGGCCTGCGGGAGAAACAGGAGGAGAAACTGGACAGAAAGCCGCCTCAGTTCCTGGAGAGTCAGAAATAAAAGGCAGGCGGGCGAGGCGCTTCCTCTGTTCCTAGGCGCCCAGCCGGTAATCCTTAGACAGCTTTGCGTGTTCTGCCCTGTTAAACACGCCGGGTTCCTCCCAGACAGCTTCTTCCAGCCAATGGATATATTAAGGGGGAAAAGTGAGTGGAAAACACTGGGGGATGAGAAGGGAGAATCACTCCAGAGACTCTGGAAAGGGTGTGGAGAAGAGCAAGAAAAGATGATTCTGGAGGCTAAAACATGCGAAGGAAGTGGGAATGTCTAGTCGAACAAAGAGAAGGACCAGGGATGACATGATAGCAGCGTTCCAGTATCTGGGGTTGCCACAAAGAAGAGGGAGTCAAGCTAGTCTAAAAAGCGCCTTCTGAAGGCAAGACAAGAAGCAACCTGTGGAAACTAATCAAGGAGAGAAGCAACCTGGAACTAAGGAGGAATTTCCTGACAGTGAGGACAATTAACTAGTGGAACAGCTTGCCACAAGAAGTTGTGGGTGCTCCAGTGCTGGAGGTTTTTGAGAAGAGGCTGGGATGCCATTTGTCAGGAATGGCCCAGGGTCTCCTTTTGAGCAGGAGGTTGGACTAGTTTGGCCCTTTCCAACAATTATTCTTAATAAGAGGAGAGCACATCTGGATGGTGTTGGCCTCTGCTTTATCTCTGACATGGAGAGAGGGATGGATCTCCTTGGGGGGGAGAGAGACCCCCCAAGCCCAGGGATGCTACTTTGCAGCTGGAGGGCCTGGGGGGGCTCCTCCCCTCCAGCCCATCAGGTGCCTCTCTCTCCCTCCACCCGCCAGCAACAGTCAGTGCTCGGCCCCCAATTCAATCATTCTGCCACTTCCTATTTATATCCCAGAAATGCAGGTGTTTCTGAAGCAGCTGCTGTATGGACAGACAGAAGAACCCAAATGTTCCTGTGGGATCTCAGCAGTGTGCCCAGGATGGGTGTGTGTGTGTGTGCACTCGCTGTGGGGCTTTGCTGCTGCTTCAGAGAGGTGATGGTTGCCTCTCTTGGGTTAGCCCCCCACCTGCAGCTGGGGAGTCTTTCTTCAGAGCTGCCCTACTTTCAGGACAGGAGCCTCTAGGTTCTCCTCAATCCAGGTGGGAGGCAGTGTTTCGCGGTCGATAACCGAACGAAAATGCAGAAATGCATTAAAAAACCTTACAGTTCCCTTTCTTAGGCAGCTCTTAAGAGGCTCTTGGGGAAGGGAAGAAAATGTATTTTCAGTTTCAAAATTAGGCACAGAAAGAGCTCACGTTTCTACAAATCTGTACAGCCAGTTCCGAATTGGTTTTATTGGTGCGTTTTGTCATTTGAGCGGAGAAGCTACGCAGGGTTCACGGGGAGAGCAGCCCTCGGCCAAGACAGAAGAGGCAGCTTTGGGAAGCAGGCAGGAGAACGGTGCTGCTCTCCGTTTCCCAGATCCCACCATCCCCATCAAGCCGCCAGTTCCCTGCATCAGGGATTTTCATCCCCCGGAGGTGTTTGGGTGGGTCTGGCGAGCAGCTCCCGGCTAATCCACGGTCTGGGTAAATAACCACGTCTAGGCGTTCCTGCAGGCCTGAGCTTGACCGGGCACCCAGGCCCGGTGGGGCTCCTCTGGGGGGGGGGGAAAGCGGCTTGACGAACCGCTTTTGTTAATGAGAGGGCTAATTGTTCCTGGTTTGCTCTGCTGCTGGCTGATGGGTGGAAGACGGGAGTTTAGGCTCCAGCCCAGGGGGCAGCCTTCCGCTTCTGTCCAGAAAGGAAAGGGAGGGACAGATAATATAAGATGGAGCCCTTTGACTCTCCTACTCTGTGCAACTCAAACAAGATGGTCTTGTGGAGATTCAAACCATCTGAGAACACGAAGGTGGCCAAGAGTTGCTACAGGTCTGACTACTACCTGCAGGGGAACTGAGGCAGTCTTTCAACCACTAAGCACAGTGCCAAGGCATGGGAGTGGGCGCACTCCCGTCCCCCCAGGCCTGGGCCTGAGATCTGTGGGCCATGCTTTGCCTCCGTGGCTGGCAGCAGCTCAGCCTTCTCCAGGACCCGGATCCTTCAGGAAACGTTCACACCCGAGGTTTACCCGCATCTGTTCAAGCTGAGTGACTTGTCTTTGCGCAAAAGGCTGGGCTTCCTTGGTCTTAACCACGGTTAGATGTTTGTGTGTTGCTACTGATGCCTCTGAGCCAGTTAGCCTATGATTTGCTCACAGGGCATGTCCAGCGAGTGGGCTAATACAGTAACCAAGTTAAGTGCAAAGGAGGATGTTTGTAGTCAGGGTTTAAAGGAGGGGACTGGTGGTCTCTGAGCTGGGTGGTTTTCTTGCAGGCGTTTCATTACCCAACTAGGTAACACCATCAGTGCTAGACCCCTCAAGTTAACTGTGTTGTGTGAACACTGAGACTCCAGGTATCCTTGGCCTGAGTTGCACATGATCTCCAGCCGTTGCCGGCTCCATGGAGTTTTCATTGATTTCACCTGAAATATGAGCAGTCTGGAAACCTCAGGCCAGCTCCTTCGTGGGGATATGACTGGGCAAGGCGGGCGGAGGAGAAGTGTCCAGCCCTGAGCCCTGGAGCCACGCCAGGCGATCAGTCAGAGGAACACACAAATAGCCATCTTTGGGGCGGAGGAGAGTTTTAATCCTGCACCCGGGTCATTCTGACCGTTAATCTGCCCTTTGCAGCTAAAACGATTATGTAGCCCTCCTGCTTCCAGCTGCGTCTCAGCCGTGGTTTGGAAGCCTCCTCGTCTCCTGCTAGATCCCCTAACTGCTCTCTCGTTATTACTATCAAAAAGGATTATTAGCATTAAATCCTTGCCTAGCCTGTTTCTCCAGATAAAAGCCTCATCCAGCAGGTTATATCATATTTTGAAAAGGTCAAGTATAAACACAATACAAAACATGTAAGTTCAAATGGTAAATAAAACAACAGTAAGGTAGCGCTAGTAGGTAAAACCTGAGCTAGAAAGATAATAAAAACCAAACACCGCTTGGAATAAAGACTCCAGAAGGCCCACAAAGAGGCAAAAGGCAGGGGTCTCCAAACTAGGAATCTTGAAGACTTGTGGATTTCAACTCCCAGAATGCTGGGGAATTCTGGGAGTTGAAGTCCACAAGTCTTCAAGATACCTAGTTTGGAGACCCCTGTCTTAAAGGAACTTCCCAGAAGTGGATCCACTCCCAAAAAAGTTCCGGCACAAGACTCCGCCACAGTTGGTGGCATTAAAAGCCAAGAGAGAGCCAGCCAGGCTCCTCTCCTCAGCCCACTCCCCCTCCTCCCCCAGGTCACCTTCCCCCCCCCCAAGGCAGTCCAGGTGTCCATCCCTGGCAGGCATATGGCTGGAGAGGCGGCAGGGCTTGGACTAGGCAGGAAGAAACGGCTGCTGCTCTCCCACCCGCCATGCGCTCTGTGATTTCGAAATTGCATTTGGACTGATTTCGTTATCGCCAGAAACTCCATTATTTGCTGGGGATATCAGGGCAATTTTGCTATCCGCGCAGCGAGTCAGTAAAGATGAAAATAGAAATACGTTCGGGAGGATCGTTGGGGTAGGGGGGCTGCCTCCCTGCTCCTCCCACTGGAAGTATCCCTTCTCCCTGCGTTGTATCTGGAATTGCATGGGAAGGCTGGGTGGGAGTCGGCCAGCGTGGGAGCAAGAGCCACAATGAAAAGCCGGCCACTTGGAGGAGGGGGGGATTGCCTATGATGTGCTGGAGCTTCTTGGCTGAAACCCACCCCATTTCCTGACCTGGGGGGCCCCAGAAGGGAGTTTTCTGATTGGAATCGGGAGTCCAGGCAGGCTTGGGGTGCCAGTCAGCTGCTTGAACTTGAGCGGGCGGTTTGGCCGGCGGGAAGCCCATGGGCTGCTCCGTTTGGGTGCAGGAGGGGGACCGAGGTCCAGAATGGGGGCTGGATCCAGCTGCCACCTTGGTGATCCTACTAACCTCCCACCTTGAGGGAATCCAAAGTCAGAGGGGGACTGAATTCCCTCTCTGCCAGGTGGGGCATCTCCCTCGTGCCCTTCTGTTGCTGGGTTCTCAAAGAGGGCCGGGGACCCCAGCTAGCCAGGCTCCCAGAGACCCCTGTGGAGAGCCAGGGCTGTCAAAGGGCTCCTCTAGTGCAACACAAAAACTGCCCTTGGCCAACTGCCCTTGTGTAGCCACCATTTCTTTCCTGACTGCCACGGATCAGCTAGCAGGGGTCTCCAACCTTGACCACTGTAAGACTTGTGAACTTCAACTCCCAGAGTTCTCCAGCCACACAGCTATAGGCTGGGGAATTCTGGGAATTGAACTCCACAAGTCTTACAGTGGTCAAGATTGGAGACCTCTGACCTATAAGCTGGGAGGGTCTTCTCTCTGCTCAGGGAGGTCTTGTATGCCCCCTACCCTTGCCATTCCCCCCCCCCATGCAATTGCCTGAAAAAAACTGCTGGAGCATCTGGAATCTTACCCAGGTTGCAGGGCAGGACCCTTTTGCAGCCAGCCTCTGGGAACATGCGGAGTGTCTTTCCTCTGTGCTGAGCACACAAGTTGCCCAGCTGGAGTTGTTACCTGGGCAGAGGGCAAAACTTGCCAGGCAGGCTGGGGTCCCAGGACCTCCTCTGTATGTATTCAGGCAGGATCCAGGAATCCCTTTCCCAGAGGGAAACGCTCCCTCCCCAGCCCCCCCCCCCGGCACGAGGCACGGGGCATGCTGGATCCCTGGGGCAACAGCCTCCATCACAGACCCGTCGTGAGAGTAAGATCAAGCCTCCCCCCCCCAACGGCTTGGTCTCCCAACCCCTGCTGACTTTCAAGAGGTGAAGGAAAAGCACTTGGTATATGCTCAGAGGCCCTCTTTAGCCTCTCTTGGCACAGCACGGCTCGGCTCCCACAAAGCCTCCTGGAAGGGCTTCCCTTTACTCCGGGGGAAGCGCCCTCTTGGCCCCCTCCTCCAGCAAGGAAGGGACCCCATTCCCCCCCACCCTGCCTGTCCCCGTCCCGGCAGTGCCAGGCAGCGGATGCTCACGGTTGAGACTTCCCCGGGAGGGTTGCCGCCGCCGCCGCCGCCGCCGCCGCCGCCTCCTCCACCGGCGGGGTCGGGGGGCGTCTCCCGAGCGGCGCCGCTGCGCAGGGGGCGCGGGACAGCTGCTCACGCCGCCGGCGAGGCATCTTGCCCGGCTTCCATCAGGACCTCCGCTCGCCGCCCGGCTCAACCCGGAGTGATCGGCGGCGGTTGCCCGGAGACTTTCTCGGCGCGGCGCCTTCCGCGGAGCCAGCCTCTCGGGGCGGGGAGCCGCTTAACCCGCTCGCTGCCGGCTCCCCCGGGCGCCCCGCCGCTCCCGCCTGCCGGGGCCCCTGTAGGGGCTGCGGAGACGGGGAGGCTCCGAGGTGGGGAGGGGGAGCGAATCCAGACGTTAAAGGTCAACTTGGCGGCGGCGGGGAGAGGAGCTGGAGGGGGATCTGGGCGAGCCTCGCGGACCCTCCTCGCAACTTCTCCGCGCTCAGGCAGCCTTCGCATCCCGCCGATGCTGTGAGCCCGACCAGGCTCTGCCCCGTCTGCTCAGCCCCGCTAGCGACCCACGGCGGACGAGGCGGAGGAGGCAAAACTGGCCTGCAAGGAGCGGCATTTCGCGCATCCCGGGAGCCGCCCCCCCCCCCGCCGAAGCAGCGCCCACCATCGCGGGGACGGTCCTGCTGCTGCTGCTCGGGAGCGCTTGCTTCCCCTGAGGGTTCAGCCTGCTGCCTTCCTGGGAAAAGAGCCCCTTTGGGCGGCAACAGCTGGTCTGGTGTGGGGAGAGCCGGAGTGCCCCCCCTCCACGATGTGCTCCTTTAGCCCAGGGGATTCGGGTGAGAAGACCTGGCCCAAAAGATCAGCGAGAGACCCCTCTGATCCCCAATTCCTTTCTGGCCTTTGAGGTGGGGGGCCCTGAGGGGCCGTGGCCCCATCTTGTGGTGAGGGCTCACGGAGGAGGGTGCCACCCAGAGGCTTTAGGGGCTCGGCCCTCACCCACCTTTCCAATGCCTGGAAAGCAGCTGCTTCTCAGGAAAGCCATTCACACGTTCCCTGGCTTCTCCTGGGGGGCTCCTGGCTAATGAGCAAACCCACGGAGAGAGCATCTGCAGGGGCTCCCCCTCCCATAGGAGCCACTAGAGTGCTGTGGCTGTCAAAGAGAAGCAGGACAAAAAGGGCAGGCGGGTCAGCCTGGGGTTCTGCAGGAAGGGTGGTCCTGCTGCCTGCAGATGCTCTTGGACAGCCCCCCCCCATCAGCAAAGGACAGGAAGGGCCTCTTTCCTTGATGAGATGCTTCCTGCCTCATCCTCGCTCCTCAGTTCCCAAAATAAGGCCGCCTTCCTTTCCAGCACCCTGGTTCTGCCCCAGAACCCATCTCTCTCCTTCTTCTGGCTGGACGTCCCTTTGATGGAGACCCTCCCCCCTTGGCCCCTGAACCCCCAAGAGACTCACAACGGCCCCACGTTGCAGGCTTGAAAAAGGCCCCCGACTCACAGCAGGCAGAGGAGCAGGGCCTGGAAAGGCAAGGGGGCCGGGTGGTGAAGCAGGAGATTATCCTGTTTGGGTGCCCTAATATTTTAATAGCAGAGCGGTCCAGAAGACTTACCTGCGCCTATTTAAAGATGCCCCGTGATCCAACCTGCTAAGCCCTGGAAGGGCAGCAGAATGAAAATCCCACGGGAGATCAACAAGACAAGCACACCTTTTTCCTGCCTTAGGCACACACATACGCGCATGCACACACACACACACACACAAACACACACACACACACACACACAGTTTCTGCATTTATATCCCAGGCTTTATTTGTATTCAAGAGTTTTGCTTTCCATCCATACAAAGGAAGACCACCTGCCCACCCCCATTTTAAGAACCTCTTTAAGAACTTGTGAGGCAGGTCAGGCTGAGAGACGTTTTAGCCCAGGTTTGCTTAGCCCATATCCGAGGATGGTTGTCTTTCCACCGTGTGCTTGTGGTTCCCTCAACCACAGCTTGCAAGTGGATCCACAGTTTTTCACTTGCACAATACACCCAAGTCACAAGCAGCCACAGAGTTGGATGCCTGCCACAGGCCAGGTCCACCAGGGATGGTCTGGTGGGCTTTGTGCTTGAGGCAGGGGCAGCGGCGTTTGCTTGGTCCGAGGGGAATTCTTTCCTGGCTTCTGACCTGCAGGAGAGGGCAGGTCCTCTTGCCATTTGCCAAAGGATCTGAATGGGGAGAGATTCCCAGAAGGGAGACCAGATTCCAGTCTTCTTGAATTGGTCAATAAAGCTGCTCTTACCAGCCAGGCTAGGAAGACTTGCTAGGAGCCTCTTGGGTGGTCTGGAAGCACACCTGAGGCCTGATTCTGCTTTGCGGTGCAGTTGCAAGATGTAGTCCGACAAGCCCGGAGGTCTTGGGGTGGAGGCACGCTGATCCTGCAAGGATCCTCTGAAGCTTTGTCGAAACTCCACTGATCTCCCAGAGGGATTCTTCTCTTGGGACGCAGCAACCATGGGTCAAGAGTGCCATGTACATCAGGACAGTTGAGGCCCTTCTGTGGAGCAGGAGGAGGAGGAGTGAGGAACTCTGAGCATACTCGGAGAGCTTCAAACTCTCCCACTTAGCTGGGGCCAAAGACAAGCCGTCCCACCCCAGCCCCCTTCTCGGCATGGCTGTGTTCCAGCCTAGGATTGTCCTGGCAGGCAACGCTAAGCCCTGACTAAGCCAGGATTTGGGGCTGGCCCTTGTTTTCCTCCGGAGGCGTCTTCAGGCAAGTGCAACATGAGAGCAGCCCAGCCACAGGACCCGAGTCAGCTCCGCTGGGAGGCTGCCTTCAGAAGCTGCTCATTAATAAGTCAGAGGATAGCAAAAATAAGAGAGCGGGAGGGCTCCTCAAGATCCCAGAGCAGCGAGAGAGGGCGGATTTGGCACCTGGCACGAAACCTTCAGGCGCAGCAAAGGAAGCCAGGGACTCTGGGAGGGGGTGAAAGGGACGGAGACGGTGGGGCCCTCCGCCCAGAAGGCTCCCAGCAGAGGCGGCAGACAAGAGGGCTAAGCTGGCTGCCTCCCCCACCTTCCAGGCAGCCAGGAAGCCAAAGGTTTTGGGGGTGGGTGAGTGGGAGAGCCTGCCTCTTTGGAGAGGAAGTCCTACGGGTGGGGGGGTCCCATCCCTGTGGCCCGTTGCCTCCCCCACTGGAGGCCCCTCAGGCTCCCTAAATAGCAGAGCCTCTTCTGGTCCTCCAGTGTCAAAGCAGCCCTGGGGACATCATTAGACTGGGGCTCTCTGAGAGCTCTCTAATCCGGGGGCTGGGGGAGCAGCGGGCGATCCATCCCAGAAGCCTCCAATCCCAAAACCCCACCGTGGAGCTCCTTCAGGGTGAGGATAGCCAGCCGGAGACGCAGGCAGACCAGCTTCTTTGTGCCCAGAGGTGCCAGCCCACCACTCGCCCTTGCAAGTGCCCCCCCCCATTGCAGGAAATGCAGATCCTTCTTTCCCCAAAAATCTGATTTTCAGAGACGGGATACCCCGAGGTGCTTTTTTTCCAAAGGCAGCTGGACTTCCTTGGATCTTTTTTCCTCGAAAACATTTCACTTCTCCTCCAAGAAGCTTCTTCACCATTGGGTGGTTCTTCAGAACGAGAGAAGCTTCTTGGATGAGAAGAGAAACGTTTTTGAGGAAAAAAGAAGCAAGAGAGTCCAGCTGCCTTTGGAAAAAAGCCCCTTTGGGACAACCCTGACCGGGAGGATGGAGATTCCCCATAGATGCAAAGACAAGACACAGGTAGTCCTCAACGTACGACCACAGTTGGGCCCAAAATTGATGTTGCCTAGTGAGCAATTTGTTGCAGCTTTTCTGCCCCATTTTACGGCTTTTCTTGCCCCCGTTGTTAAGGGAGTCCCTGTAGTTGTTAAATTAGTAACACAGTTGTTAAGTGGGTCTGGCTTCCCCTGCTGACTTTGGGGATCACAAAAGGGACCACATGACTCCGAGAGGCTTTAACCGTCATAAATGTGAGTCAGTTGCCAAGCCTCCGAATGGAAACCACATGACCCCGGGGATGCTGCAACGGTCACCAGCATGAAAAACGGTCCTAAGGCTCTTTTTTCAGTGCCGCTGTAACTTGAACGGTCACTAAGCGAACTGCTGTAAATCGGGGACTGCTGGCGGTTGTGTCTGCTGCGGACTCGGTTTTAGCCAAGGCAGAACCACTGCCGGACACAGGAATCTGCTCTCCCGTGGTCAGGCCTCTCCGGCTCTGGGGTTTCAACCCTGATATCCGGCACAGCCACCATGCTGCTGGGCAAGGCTGGCTGGGGGTGATGGGAGATGTAGTCCAAGCGCCTGGGAGCTGGGGAAAGACAACCCTTCTGGCTGGAAGATCTCGGTCAGAGGGAAGATGTTTCTTTCCAGCTTCCCTTGAAATCCTCACCCAGGAGTTGGTGGAAAAAGCGGAGCTGCAGGGCAGGCCTTCCCTGCTGAGCTTCGGCCCCAGTAAACTGGCCCATAACTCCGCCAAGGGCCCCATAAAGCCTCAGGGGCCGCTGGCTCGGGGGTCAACGAACTTCCAGGCGAGGAGGTCAAGGCAAGCCTGCAGCCCCACCTTTGCCGTAAAGTAAGAGTAGCCTGCTTGCTTTGCTCTGGAAATGCCGGGGTGGTGCTGGTGGTGGTGGCTGTAAAAGGAGCAGCTGGAGAGGAAGCCAGGTTGCCTTTTGGGCGGAGGGAAAGCGGGGAAAGGGCGTGCATTTTTTTCTAGGAAATTTGAAATGTAAGCAAGGAGGAATGCCAAACAGACAAATGAGGTTTTGTTTTACTGCGGTGTTTACCCATCTCAAGAACTTTAAGACGTGTGGACTTCAACTCCCAGAATTCCCCAGATAGCACGTCCACACGTCTTAAAGTTGCCAGCAGGCTGGGGAATCCTGGGAGTTGGAAGTCCACAAGTCTTAACCTTGCCAAAGTTGGAGAGCCCTGCTTTAAAGCATTGCAACCAAAGCTGAGCCTAGAATTATGTCTAAAAGCAGTTTTCCAAGGAACCAAACACTCCTCTCTAATACAATTTTTGTAAACCCAATGCTGACTTGCCCACTGCAGAACAAGCTGCCCTTTTCCAACCGGTCCTCCCTCTGCAATTGCGTTACCAGGAGGGGAGCTGAAGATGAACTTGTTCTACTTTACTTATTTTGAATGGCGATTAAATTGGTCAGCTGGTTCCACGTCACAGTTGCTTGGGAAAGCACAATGCCAGTAGCCGCCCAGAAGGGGCGGGAGGGAAGGGGCAGTGATCCCTTTTGCTGCAAACTTTTCAAAACTTTCTCCTCCTTCCCCCCTCAGCTGCCCTGCATCCGCGGTGGCACTTATGGTCATGGGTGATTCTAGGCCACAGCTGTGACATCGCCCTCCCCCTCCCGCCAAAGAGCCGAGGGCTTCCAGCAAGTCCCTCCCTGCCTGCCTGCTGCAGCTTGCAGTGAGTCGGAAGGAACTGGATCCAGTGTTTGGGTGAGATCCAGTTCTCTGCAGCTGATGTATGCAGTGACCTTTGCCTCTCCTCTGAGAGTTTTCCCCTTTTAATAAGAGACTAGCAGAAAAGACACCCCCGGGCGAGCAGGACAGTTGTGGCCCTGGCACAGATTGCCAGTCAGAAAGCACTTCTCTGCCAGGCAGGCACTTTTAGTGCGACATGTTGGTCTATTGGAGGAAGCACTAACTTAGGAGAGCGTTTCTCAACCATGGCTACTTCTAGACTGAAGCCTGGACTTCAACTCCCAGAATTCCCCAGCCGGCCTTCTGACTGGGGAGTGCTCCACCCATCAGGCCCTGCCATCCGACACATGGTGAGATTCTAAAACCTTCCCGCTCGCTTTCTTTCCATCTCAGGCCCCTGAAGTGCCATCTCACCAATATCAGATAATAGACTAAACGGAATAACAGAGTCGGGAAGCACCTTGGAGGCCTTCTAGTCCAGCCCCCAGCCCTCTCTTGAACTGGCCCAAAGCAGAAGCAGGACTCCCACCAAGGCAGGTCGTTGGCACAGTCTGTTCACGTCCTTCTCGGGGCCTGGAAGTTTGTGGGGAGCTGCGTTTGCAGAGCAGCCTCCACCATATGTTTGATTGCAACCTTCGGTCAGGAGCTGCCGCGACGAGCCTTTGTGCGCTTGTCAGTTCCCGGTGGAGTTTGCTTAAGGTTCAAAAGTTGCCCCTGACAATGACATTTGTGCACCAGAGGCAATGTGTGTTCTTCTACCTCTTTTTATTGGATTATATACACAATTCCTAGGCTCCCCCAGTACCTTTTCTTTGGAAAATACAGAAGACAGTCATGCTACGGTCACGCTAAGTCTCCCTGCTTCACAACTGATGGTGCCATTGGCCTGCAAGCCCTCTCAGCCACGTGGCCCAAACCAGGAGAAGGCCCTGTGCCGAAGACCCCTCACCCGGGGCTGAAACTGGCTCTGGTGACCCACAAAGGCCTCCCCAGCTTTTCCCACGGCATTTCCTGTACAGAAAATGTCCCCCCCCCAGCCTGGCGTCTCCCCTGCCCAAGGGCCCTTGGTCCCCTTTTGCACCAGGAGGAGCTTGTTCCGACGGAGGAGCCAGACCTGGCCTCTCCCCCACTTGGCCTCCCCGCCCTGCCTGCCTGCCTTCCTCCTCCTCAGCCTCTGCCCTGGTCAAGCCTGCTGGATTCCACCTCCTGGGGCATCACCAGGCAGCAAAGGGAAGGCCAGTCGGAAAGCAGGGAATTGGGGGGGGAGGGGGTCTCCTCGCTCAGGTGCCTTTCAAGCCAGCTGGGAATCCCTGCAGGTGAAGGAGGGGAAGGTCAGGCGAGGGCAAGGAAGGCCGGGAGCCCCTCCTGCTTCCTCCATACGCCAGCATGGAAATGACAGGGGTCCTCAACTTACGACCACAGTTCATCCAAAATCTCTCTGGCTAAGTGAGACATTTGTTAAGTGAGTTTTGTCCCATTTTACGACCTTTCTCGTCAGAGTTGCTAAGTGAACAGCTGCAATTGTTAAGTCAGTCGCATGGTTGTTAAGCGAATCCGGTTTCCCCATTGACTTTGCTTGCCGGAAGGTCACAAAAGGGGACACCACAGCTGTCATAAATGTGAGCCAGTTGCCAAGTGTCTGAATTTCCATCATGTGACTGTGGGGACATTGCATCGGTCGTAAGTTTAAAAAATGGTTCTAAGTCGCTTTTTTCGATACCGTTGTAACTTTGAACCGTCACTGAAATCATTGTAAGTTGAGGACTACTCGTAAGTCCCCTTGGACTGGGGAAGCTGGAGGGGTCTGGCCAGGGGGGGGATTAGGGGGTGGGAGGCAGGCTGAAGAAAGGAAAGGGGAGAGGAATGCCAGGGGGGGCTCCTTGTCTGACCAAGCCCCTTATGCAGAAATTGGACCTTGCAAAGAGCACACAGGGTAGTCACCAGCATATGTGTGTGTGTGTTTGTGTGTTCACAATGCTGCCATCACAAAAAGAGTGAACTAAGTAGCCTGAGGATGCAAGAGAATTTGAGGCTCGGCCTCGCTGTCTCTGCTCCTGCCTGGATTCCCCCCCCCTCATGGCAGATCAATGCTGGGGGCAAAGCTAACATCCTCCCACTCGGGCTGAGTATCCCAGGACAGGGGTCTCCAACCTTGACAGTTTTAAGACTCAGCCGGCAAAGGAATTCTGGGAGTCTGTGACAAGTCTTAAAGTGAGACCCCTGTCCCAGGAAACATCCCAGGGCTTCCATCTCACCTGGGCTGCTTCACCTGTGCCTCGCAGCATTATTTTTCCTTGGGAGGAGGATGGGGGGGGGGGAAGAGGGGCAGAGACCCCATCCCTCTTTGGCCCAGCAAGATGTCTTTTGCTCACCCTCCAAGCGCTGGATTCGGATGGAGCAGCTGGCCCCCTCCCCCCCCCAGGGGAACCCGGGAACTCAACTGGCTTACATTCATAGTGCAAACGTGCCCCAAAGCATCTGGGGAGTTGGAAAGAAACCGGGGGGGGGCTTCAGCTGTTCCTGCCAGGATCTCTTGAATCCGAGGCCAAGAGGGGAGGGGAATATTTGTGCCCCCCCCCGCTCTCCCTCAACTCCCTCACATTCTCAGCCTGTGCAACCTTCTGCCTTTAAATATAGATATATAGAGATTGATCTAGATATATATTATAATTATTCATATAGGGATTTCTGTAAATATAGCTGCCTGCAATCTCTTTAAGTGCCTCTTTCCATCTCCCTGGCCTCTGCCATTAGCCCCCCTCCCCTTCCCCTGAGTATTAAACCCTCCCCAAAGTGTTTAACAGAATGCAGCCTCCCTCCCCCTCCCCCGCCTTTGCACCCCCTGCCTCCCTAGCCCCACCACCGGGGTGGCCCCACTGGCCTCCCCACCCCTCCCTCCCTACACGAGGCGCCACTGGAGGACATTGGTGTCCACCCCACCGGTGGAGAGCAGCAGGCTGTCGTCGTGGAGGAAGGCAATGTTGGTGACGTGGCTGCTGTGGCCGCTGTAGGTATGGCTGGGGCCCTGGGGTAAGAGAAGGGGGTCAGAGGGCCAGGAGGCATCCCTAGAGCCTGCTTGGCCGGCCTCTGTGGGAAAAGTGGCAGACGGCTGGCCTTGTGCCACCCCCTGGCAGCGCAGCCCGTTCCCCAAAGGCCACAAATGGGCTCTTCCCTCCGGCTGGGGCCTTGTGCCCTCCTCCTCCCCCCCCCCGCCGAGAAGGGTTTCAAATCCCAGCGTCTCTCAGAGGCTCCCGGCGTGGCTGCTCACCCGCGGCTGGCAACAGGGGTAGGAGAACAAGTGCACTTTGCCAAAGTCATCAGCCGACGCCAGGAGCTTGCCCTCGTGGGAGCGGCACACGGCGTTGATGTCGGTGCCATCCGCCCCCTCCGGCCAGATCCCTACAGGGGCAGGAGAAACGGTCAGCGGGAGGCCAAAGCTTTTCGGCCACTCAGCCTCCTCTTGACGCCCTCAGCCCACCCTGCGAAACGGAACTGCTCTGGTGAGGCCTCCAATGGCACCCGGCAGCCAGCAGGTGGGACAGAAGGGGGGCTTTCCGTTCGTGCCTCTGGGTGAAGTGGGGGTCCCAACAGGGGAGGTGTTGGCTGCACTTGAAGGTAAATCCCCACCTGGGTGGATTTCTGAAGCTCAAGGTCCTCAGAAGATGCTGGAGGGCAGAGCATCCCCTGTTGGCAAGGCACCCGTAGCCCTGTGCTGCCCCCTGCTGGCCCAGGCGCAGACACCCTCCTGGCACCCACGGCTGCTCAGCCCCACGGCGCTTACCAAACACCCCGAAGCCCAGCACGCAGGTGGCCGTAGCCCACTCCAGGTTGCGCACAGCTTCCGCGCTGGTGATTTGCCGGCAGGTGGAGGGATCCCCTGGGATGGGAAGGAAGGCAGCAGGAATGAAGAAGGCGAGTCTAGAGCTGCATGTACCCTCAACATAGCTGGCTGAGGAATTCTGGGAGTTGGAGTCCACAAGTTGTAAAGTTGCCAAGGTTGGAGAGCCCTGCGCTAAGGGGCAACTGCCCTTCCACCCACTGAGGCTGGTGCCAGTTGGCTCAGGTGGGCAGGAAGAGGCCCCCAAGGGAGGGGCTCCGTGCCAGCTCCAAGATGCCAGAGGCCCCCCCACACACACACACATGAGGGCCCTTCCGCTCTCTAAAGCCAATGAAAGCAGAACGAACAATATGGCTGGGCCTGAATAGGACTGTCCTGGGGGGGGGGCATCCTTCGAGTGCCAAGACAGCATCTAGACTAGCAGGCTTGCAAAGTGCCTTCCGTTATTCTGAAACTGGGCCAGGAAACGGCCAAAGGCCGCCTTCTTCTTCCAAGGGGGGGGGGGACACACCTCAACTCCCAACAGCAGTGATAACAAGTCACTCTGTGGGGGAGAAGGGCAGCTTCCAAATTTGATAAATAAATAAAGTGGAGTAAACGACGGTCCCTCTTCAGGTCCAGAATACTCACAATAGAGAATCTCATAATCCCCCGAATTGGTGACCAGGCAGCTGCTGTCAAAGGCCCAGTCGAGATGGGTGATGAAGCTGGAGTGACCCTGGGGCAAGGAGGACAGTCAAAGCTAGTTTTGGGAAAGGCCGACCAGGAGAAGATCCTCGCATCAGCGCCCTCTTTTTCTTTTGGACTTTCAGGAGAATCTGGAACTCGCAGCGGCTCTGTGACTTGGCAGGAGGGGCTCGGCCGTCCGGGGCTGCCCAGCTGAGCCCCAGTTCAAAGGGGGGCCAGCCTGCCCTGCCGCACCCAGAAGATCCCGCTGGGAGAGGCCCCTCCCCCCGGCAGCCTCCACTCACCGAGCATTTGCCAACCCGGCCGTACTTCCTGCCACCCTCGGAAACCAGGTAGATGTAGACAAAGTTATCATGGGAACCCAAAGCCAGGTACTTCCCGTCTGCAAAGCAAAAGAGGAGAGTCAGCAGGGAGGGGGCAACGGCGTGGAGAAAATGTGGGACAACATTTCTCTCTCTCTCTCCTTCCCTCTCTCTCCCTCTTTCTTTCATTTCTGTTTCCTATTTCTAAACCAGCCATCTCTCTCAAACGTCCCCTGCGGCCTCTGGGGCTCAGACTCCAGGAAATCACCTCCGAATTTGTGTCTTTTGTGTCCTTCCCACAGACTGCCTCCTCTTGGGCAAACCCACACCCGATGCCATGCCTGGCGTTTGCAGATCCTCCTACCCCCTGCCTGTACGTGGCCCCCCCTCTTTTCCAACCTGGGGACAAGCTGACCACAGAGATGGGCTCTCCTCCGTCCGTGTGAATGGCCACCAGGTCCCGGGTCTCCGTGTCCAGCACTAGCCACCTGGTGGGAAGCAGGATGGGGGGGGAGATGTTACGGCAGGCCAGAACCCCGCAGGGGCTGCAGGTGCGAGTCTGTCTGTCTGTCTGTCTGCTCCTTTGCACCTTCCCCCATTATCAAGGCAGAGGAAGCACACCAGAGCAAGGAGATTAAAAAGTGGGCAGGTTTCATTAAAGGAGGACAGAGTCTCCTCCATGCCAGGGGCACAAAGTTTGGGGCACTTGAGTCTCTCTGAACTGAGAGGCCCCCAACAGCTGGGCCCAGGAAAGCTCCTACCCCTCCCGAGATTCCCAAGTCCGCTCCCTATTTCTCTTTGAGCAGCTATCCAAGACACCCAGGAGCCCCCAGAAGGGCAGCACAGTACCAAAGCATTGAAGGGAGGGGTCCCAGAGAGGGTCTTCCACCCTCCCCACCCCACCAGGACTCCCTGTGCCCATTACCTGCCCGTGACAGTGCCCACCACCAGTACCGAACCGTTGGGGTGGAAGCCAGCCGAGCGAGCTGCATCCTGGAAGAGGAAACAGCCTTCAGACGGTGCCCTTGGGGCCCCAGAGGTGGTCTTCATGGCCCCAGAAGCCCCCGCAGAAGACCCTGTGCTCACCTCAATTCCCTTGCTCCATAGAGGCTGGTGGGTGGCCACACTCCACAGGTGGACCTGCTTGTCCTGCCCACAGGTCAGGAACTGGTCCAAGGTGGGGTGGGTGGCCAAGCCCCAAAGCTCTTCGGTGTGTCCCTAGTAGGAGAGGGGGGGGTCAGCTGGCTTCTCCATGAGGGTACCCCAGGTGCCAGGGCCCTCCCAGCACAGCCTGCTACCTGCACCAGGAGAGAGAAGCCGGTCGACAAGGACCCCTGTAGCACAGAGTTGCGAGTGGTGCCCACAAAGAGCGAGTCGCCCTTCCCTTCAGCAATGGTGCGCACTGGTCCGAAGCCATCCGGGACCTGCAGAGAATCACAGAGTTGGAAGGGACCTTCGAGATCTTCTAGTCTGACCCAGGGGTCTTCCTCCTGGCTGAGGAATTCTGGCAGTTGAAGTCCACAAGTCCTAAAAGGGCCAAGTTTGAAGACCCCTGCCCTAATCAGTCGGGAAACCCTGTTTCTAGGAAACTTCAGAGGGACAGACAGACACAGCCCTGAGGAAGACCTGGAGAGACCCAGCGCATGTCCACAACCCACAGACAGGGAGCGACATGAATTGGGCTGCTTAAGTAGGGATAAAATACAATAAACCTATTTTGGCATGGAAAGATGTTCCTATGGAGAGTCAGCACTTTCCTCTCTTTTACCACTAAAAGCCGAGCATCTTTTTGACCCTGCTGGTCATTTATTTCAGGGGTTTGGCCCCGGGTCTCACCTCGTTCTCCTGCAGCTTCTGATAATCCCGTCCCCAAAGCACCACCCGGCGATCTCGGCCGCCCCCCGTGAGGATGGTCCCATTCCGCAGCACACAGAGGCCGAAGATGCCCCCCTCATGGGCGCCGGGCACCGCATGGCAGATCCGGTTCCCCCCTGCAAGGACAAGAGTGGCACAGAGCGGGCATTTAGGCACAGGTGGGGGAATCTGCCTCCTGTCCCATAAGCAGGGCATTTTGGTTTTATAGCAGGGGTTTCCAATCTTGGGAACTTTAAGACGTGTGGACTTCAATTCCCAGAATTCCCCAGCCAGTCCACACGTCTTAAAGTTCCCAAGACTGGAGACCCGTGCTATAAGCCACAGGGATTGAGTCTTCCTCATCTTGACCTGGGGAGACCATGAAACCAGCAGATTTGCTTTGGAGCATCAGTAGTCTGGCTTGCATGATTTAATAGTTAATTTCCACGCTGTGGGTTGCAGGATTTAATCCACAAACCCTGCTTTATGCAAAGTCAGTACTCCCGACCAGGGGCGCCCAGACAGCCTTTGGGGAGTAAGAAGAAGCCTTGCCCACTGCCCAACAGACCTTTGCCCCAGATGTAAAGGTTGCCCCCGGAGTCGCCAGTCACCGTGTCCCCGTTTTCTGTAAAGGCCACGCAGAGGACATACTTGGGCTTCTCGTGTTTCTGCAGAGAAAGGGGGGGGAGAGAAGAAAGGGAGGAGTCCCAAAGGGACACTTCAGAGCCCCCCCCGAATATCTCCATTCACCCGCTGCTGAATTGCGCCTAGTCCTCGGCTTATGGCCATAGTTGAGCCCACACTTTCTGTGGCTAAACCAGATAGTTGTTAAGAGAGTTTTGCCTCATTTTACGACCTTGCTTGCCACAGTTGTTAAGTGAATCATTGCTGTTGCTAAGTTAGTAACACGGTTGTTAAGGGAATCTGGCTTCCCCATTGACTTTGCTTGTCGGAAGGTCGCAAAAGGGGATCACACGAACCGCCCCCCCCCCCCCCCGGGTGGTGCGACCATCATAAATGTGAGTCAGTTGCCAAGCGCCTGAATTTTGATCATGTGACCACGGGGATGCTACCACAGTCGTTAAGCATGAAAACAATCATCAGACACTTTTTTTTAGTACTGTTGTCTCTAAGTGAAGTGTTGTAAGTTGAGGATCACATATACTATGTTTGAAACAAAAGGTGTAAAGCCTGAATCTCAGCTTCTCGTCCCCCTTCTGATGGGAGAGAAATGGAAGGCAAGAGCGAAGCCCACAAGGGAGTGTCTGTGTGTGTGTGTGTGTGTGTGTGTGTGGTGTGTGTGTGTGTGAGAGAGAGAGATTGGGGCCTACATTTCCCAGAGTTCAGTGCTCCAGCAGAACTCAGAACCTGCAATTAGCACAGCAAAGTGTCTGCTTATTTCTGGACACCAGTAAGCTCTCCAGCATGAGGCCCATGAACACCAGTGGACAAGGCCTGGGCAATGGGGCTGAGGGCAGGGAAGCCACCTCAATGTTGCCCCCCCTCCCAGCCCCCCTTCTCCCCTTGCTCTCACCTCAAAGATGCCCTGCCTTTTGCTGAGGCTGCCACCTTCCAGGGTCCAGAAGTGGATGTGGGATTTTCCACAGGTGATGAGGAGTGTGGGCTCCGTGGGGTGGAACGTGGCGGCCAGAACGGACTCATTGGAACACTTGGGAAGGAAGGAAGGAAGGAAGGAAGGAAGGAAGGAAGGAAGGAAGGAAGGAAGGAGAGTGTGTCAGATGTGAAACACGGGTGCCGGATTTGGTGCAAGGAATGGAAGCGAGCAAGACGTCTACCTTCACGTCAGCCAGTTTCTGCTCCTTCTGCCAGTCCCAGACGGAGAGCACGTGGTCGTTGGAGTCATCCACGGCACACAGGAGGCCACCCCCGTTCTGGGCAGAGGAAAGAGAGGGCCAGTTGGGCAGGGAGGCAGCTGCCCCCCCAAGAGTTGCTCAGCCTGGGCAGGTCGTTCCTTGCACAGGTTGAAGGGGAGATTGAGTCTATTTTGCTCGCTTGGGTGGGAGGGGTCATTTAATGCAGGGGTCTCCAAACTTGGCAACTAAGACTTGTGGACTTCAACTCCCAGAATTCCCCAACCAGCCATGCTGGCAGCCAAATACCCCATCTTGACTGGCTGGGGAATTCTGGGAGTTGAAGTCCAAAAGCCTTAAAGTGGTCGAGGTTGAGAAACACTGCTCCCAACCAAGGACGGCCCAACGTGGTGTGTGTGTGTGTCCCAGGAGGTCCCCGTTGGGCCACGGGAGGAAATCGCGCTGCAGAAGCTGGCAGGAGGGGTCTCACGCACAGACTTGGAGAATCCCACGCAGGTGACCGCTCGGTCGAAAGGTCCAGGCCCCAGGACGTGGAGGGTGTTGAGACTCACGGAATCCCAGATGCGCACCTGGGGCGGCAACACCTGTGGGACACGCAGGGAGACGCACCTTGAGACAAAAAGCATTTCCTCCGAGAACGCAAACTCGGCTTGTGCGGCTCGTTGCCAATGGATGCAACGTTAGCCATGGGGGAAAAAAGGAAGGCGAGTGGAAAAGGTCCACTGATTGCCTGTTAGCCACGACAGGAACAAACAACACAGTGCTCTGGGCCAGGCGGCCTGCAGGCTGTGAACACCCTGAAAATGCCAGGGGAAAGTGGCTGGGCGATGCCCACTTTAAAGGCTCCTGTTTTGTGCACTTCTGACCTTTCTGCACCAAACACCCAAAGCAGCTGATGCAGAGATGCAACTTAACAGCCTCCGTTTTTCAGACGGCATTAATTCAGCTCTAAACTGGGGGGAGTTTTCTCTGGCCAATCTATCGCTCTCTAACTGTAGCCCCCCTCCCCAAATGGACAGCCTTTCCTTAGGTCGCCCCCCTCACCTTGCCGTCCTTTGACGTCCCGGCCACCTGTCCGGTTGCTACAGTCACCATGTCTGGATGCACAGTCAAACTAAGGGAGACAGCGAAGGGCCCAAGTTACACGGGTGGAGGACACCCCAAAAGGCAGCTCCTCCTCTGGTTTACTAGGACCGGGGGCCACCATTCCTATCACGTTCTTTTCCCTGGAGTAAAGTGCCTCCCCGCCTTCTTACATTTCTTCAGCCAACTACCATTTCCCCAAACCATTCTCCAATTCTGGCAAGGTGCCAGCGCCCTCCCCTAACCTGGAGGTGCCTCTTTCCCTCCCCGCTGCTTGTGCCCGTCTCCCCAGAGAATGGGGCGGGGCAAGGCAGCCAGGCTCCCACGGGCCCTTCCTACCACTTGATATCGTCGGTGTGGCCCAGGTAGTGGCGCTGTCGCTGCTCTTCCACGTTGTAAAGGACGGCCACGGCAGCCACGAAATAGACAATCTCCCCCGTGGGCAGCAAGAAAAGGTTGGCCCGGCAGTCACGGCCCCGATATCCGTACCTGGAGCGATGGCCACAGGTCAAGGGACAACGCAAGGGGACTTTGCCAGGACGCCTGGAGTCAGCCTTTGGGGGCCAGCCACCCTCCCCCCCGGGGGACCCAACCGTGAGCAGGATACACCCAGTCCAGCTTCAGCTTCTTCTGCGGCAGCTCCAGCTTGGCGTCCAGGCTGTAGGTGGCCACCACGGCATCGGGGACAAACATGGGGATGGGGCGTCCCCGCAGGAACATTTTCACGTAACCATCCTCTGCAGGGGAGAAGGGGAGGGGGGCAAGGTCAGCTGGCTGGATCCTCATTTGATTCCGCCCCCCAAAGGCCAGGTAAACTCCTAGCTCTCAGCATGGTCCACCCCGCCCCATGGGTGGCCTGCAGGTAGGGCAAGTGGGGGCCTCATCCTCATATGGGACCCCAAAAGGGCGCCCTGCAAATAGGGCCAACGCCAGCTTTAGGACTTGGGTTGCCCCCACTTTGCCCCCAGTGAAATAAGCTGGACCTTCCCCCCCCCCATCTATCATTGCCGCATCCACTCACCAGCGTTGAAGATGGCTTCTTTTGGTTTGCTATGAGGAGAGAGAAAGAGACTTGATTGGGAAGGAATAGGAAAGGGGGGGGGAAAATAAGCCCCACACATCTAATTGTAGAGTCAGCTGACCCTGGATGACCCTTCAGCCACCCACAACCTCCCCCAAAGGGAGACAGACCACACACACCCCCCCCACATACCTCCAAAGATATCCAGATACTTGCCTGAAAGAGGGTCCTCACATCTTAGGGATTCTCCTTTCCCTGCCAGTCCATCACTCCCTTCTTCCTGCCCCTCTTATTCCCAAGTTCTGGACCTCTCCAGGTATTAAGGCATCCCTGTCCTGCCCCAGCGACCCTTTGGGAGACCCTAGCCCCATTGCAGGAGAAGCCACTTTGAGTCCAACACAGCATGGTGTGCAATGTGAACGCTGGCCAAGCACAGCAGTGAGGAAGCAGCTCTGGCCAGGGATGACTGCTGGGGCTGCCATAGTCCTCCCCCCGCCCCCCAAGAGGCTAGGGCAAGTTGGAAAAGGAGTAGCGCTTATCCGCTTTGAGCCTTCGGGCTACAACAGAGCCCCGCCGATGGCAGGGACACCACCTGTCGTGGGGGTTTAGACTGGGGAGGGTCAGCTGAGTACCCCAATTGAAGGCCGCAAACATCATACAGAACAAGAGAAGCATAGGAGCCCCCCTTCAGGAGGTCACCCCCCCACTTCTCCACACACACACACACACCGCTCGCAGTTAAAGCAACCTCGCTGGCCGGACCGGTTCGGTTAGCAAACCCGAAAGTCCGAGGAGGCAGGGCAGAGCTGCCCCCCCCCGTCGCCTTTTGCAGAAAGTTTAGCGGGCGCTTCACTGAGAAGCTCCTTGGGAGCTGCTCCCCCCCCCCGCGGGCACAGAGGGGGCGTCTCTGTTCCCGGGACCGTCTCGGGGGACGTGGCGCGGCTCCTGCACCTACCAACCGCCCCCTTCCCCCCCCCCCGGGGTTCCGCGCCTTCCCGAGCAGCCTCGAGGAAGCCGCGACCCCCGCCCGGTGGGTGGTTGGCGGCCCCCGAGGCGCCGGGTGCGGGGGAAGCGCCCGCCGTTACTCTCGGGACCCGGCCCGGCTGCGGCCGGGGGCAGCCGTTCCCCCCCCTGCGCAACCCGGAAGACGAGCGCCGCCGCGGCCGGCACTCCTGGGCCGGGGGCAACGCCGAGCTCGACTGCCCGGCCGCGGAGCTCTTCGGAAGCGGCAGCGCGGAGCCCGCCGTGCCCGGCGCTCTCTTCCCCGGCGTGCGGCCCCCCGCAGCCGCCCTACCTGGGGCTCTGGCTCCGGGCCGCCTTCCGCAGGTTGGGCGCTCCGCTCTGGCTCCGGCGGGCAGGCGGCGCTGCTTCAAGGCCAGGCGCGCGCGGGGCGGTTCCGCCCGGGGGAGCGGCGGGGGACCCGCGGGGCGTTGCTGCCGGGAAAGGAGCGGCCCGGCGGGGCCCAGGAGCCGCCCTCCCGGCACCCGGGGAGCCCCCTCGCTCCTGCCCCGGCGGCGCCCTTGGGGCGCTCGAGCTGCCGAGGCCGCGGCTGGAAGCCCGAAGTGGGCTCATTCTTGCCCGAAGGGACCTACGGAGCCTGCCTGGCCGAGCCCCGTGCCAGCTCCCGGTGCCGGAGCCAGGTCTGGATTGGAGCTCTACCTGAAGGTCTTCGCCAGACCCGAACACGCGTTTAGTTGGTTCCGAACCGAAACAGAGCAGCGGGAGGGGGGGGAGAAGGGGCACTGGTCTTTGTGTCCAAAAATGGCCAGAGGGCTTAGAAGTCAGCTGCAGTATCTCCCCAGGCCCATCCCGCCCTGCACTACTAATGGATGGATTTCCCTTGTTGAAATTGGGGGTGGGGGTGTGCCTAACATAGGCCAGATTCACTGTATGGGTGGGTGAATTTGGCTGCTGCTTGGTGGGGCTGCATATGTTGCATGCAGATAATCAACATCAGAGAGGAATGACCTTCCTGCTTAAGTCACCCTAGTTTCTCTCTTTTTGCTTATCTAATTTTCTGCATAGTTTCCTGGCCTGCAAGGTTGCCAGATGTTATGGCTGCAGATAATGCTCCTTGGCCTCAGCTGGCTAAAGGAGTTTTGCTCTGCAAGATTTCGGCTGTCCTGCAGAGTGGCCGGGGCAGGCCTCGCCCAGTCTGACCAGCAAAGGAGAATATTTGCAGCTCAGGGTTGAAATGAGGGCTCCTCGGTGCTCTTGAGCTTGGTGGTTTCCTTGCAGACTTTCATTACCCAACTAGGGAACGTCATCAGTGCTGGAAGGGAAGGGTTTTAACTTAGCACTGATGACGTTACCTAGTTTGTGCAATGAAACGTCTGCAAGGAAACCACCAAGCTCAGAGAGCACCAAGGAGCCCTGGGATCGAACTGACCGAGCCTGACTAGCTTTGTAGCTCAGAGTACTCTTCTCTGCGTTGCAACGTTGCTTTGGCAGCGGGAGGTGGTGATGGCGATGATGGCAGGCGCGCAGTGGGGGCTTGGTGTGGGCATCTGCCCGAGTGGCCAGTTCAGACATACCCGTCGCGTTTGCCGCTGCAGGAGCTGCTGGAGGAAGTGGTGTGGCTCCTCTGGTCCTTGAAACTCTCGCGCTTGAGCGAGGCGGGGCGCTCCGGCGAGGGGCAGCTACTATGCCCGCTGTAGGAGAGAGAGCCTGAGCGAGAGAGCCAGACAAGGCGCGGGGGGGGGGGGGAGGCAGCGGGGTGAGTGAGCCAGCTGGGAAATGGGCGATGGAGAAGAAGAAAGCCAGGCGGAAGCAGATGCAGGCAAGAGGCTGAGAAGTGCCAGGCCAGAAAGAAAAGCCCCTTCCGAATTGGAGGGCTGAATGTGCAGAAGAGGCCGTGAAATTGTTCTCAGCAGCAGCTGAAGCAGCCAAAGGTGGAAGCAGCAAGCCAGGAGAGAGAGAGAGAGAGAGATGTGGGGCCCTTCGCTTGGGTGCCTGACCCTCCTGCACCTGGAGGGCTGGAAGAGGAAAGCTTTGCAGAGCTGTTTTTGGTTGCAAGGGGTCAAGCCACGAAGGGCTGCTCCCTTCCCCCCCCCGGCCAGGAGCCTATTGCAGAAGAGACCCCCTGCAGACCTCCCCTTTCTCCCTGGGGGGCTGGAAGCGGGGGGGGGGTAAGGACAGTGCTCTGGAAGTCAGGCCTGGGGGGGGGGGCTGATCAGTCTGGTTGACCCAGGCCAGTCAAGCAAAGGAGGAGAGCCGAGGCAGCTCCCTGAACCCAGGCAAAGGCCTGCCTGCCCCCCAACTTAATGAGCACCCTCGGGGTTCACCAGCTGCCCTTGGGGGACTCAGCCTCACGTCGGTCTTGCGCTGTAACAGAGGCGAGGGAAGGTTCTCCAGCTACCGGGCCCTTCCGTGCCCCCCTGGAGGGTTTAGCATCACAACAGAAGCAGGTGGGGGGGCGCAGGAAGCAGAGAGCAGCAGCAGGGGGGGGTGAAATGGGGGTCAGGAGCCATGTCACGATCCCATGGAGAGTCAAGAGGCATCCTTGAATCCCTAACCACCCTGGAGGGATGATTTACTGTTCCCACCCCCACTTTATCACGTATGGTATGAAGAGGTAAATGTATGATTTGCTACCCCCCCATCCTGGAAAAAAAAAGATTTATCCCAAGATCTAACCAGCGCCACTATGGGTGGCCAATATAAAATGTTATTCTTTAAAATCACTAATTTTACTGCTTCTCTCAGTGCAGTGGTTCTCCACCTTGGCCCCTTCAGATAGGTGGGCTTTAAAGTAGGTAGGCTTTGCTGGTTGTGGAATTTTGGGAGTTGAAGCCCACCCATCTGAAAGGGCCAAGGTTGGAAAGTCCGTCTTTCCAGGAAGCACAGCCTCTTCCAGAACTAAACAGACATCCTTTATAACCATCACAAACCATTTCAATGAAAAAAAAGTATTTTCATAGGCCCGTTCAAAAGAATCGTCTCTGCCTCTGAATTCTAACTCTTGAGACGGGACTTTGGGGGCCTTTGGGGACTGCAGTTTTTAGCCAACTGTCTAGCTGACCCCCACCCCACCCCCACCACCCCTACCACTAGGAAAAGCTGCTAGGGGAAGAGGATCTTGCGCTGACTCAATGCATGCGGTTTCATTCATTGAGAACCAGCAGCTTGAATGTTTGTTCTACTGTTCGCCCACTTCCCTCATTTTTAGTGAGCAGGGACCCGGAAGCAAATCTCTCCATCAAGTCCAAGTCTTTCGAGGAAAATAACCCCTACGTTTTTTCAACTGCGCAGAAGAATTCAGCATGAATGTTTGTTTGCGCTCTGCCCGTCCCCAGAGTCGGAGGCGCCACTGCGGGAGACAGAGATGGAAGCGCATCAGACTATCTCCAAGACACAGCCAAGTTGGGCGAGGAGCCCACAGGACTTGTGGAGAAGTTTCTGGCTTTTTCTGACTTCCCAGGAGCTTTGGACAAGCCTGCTGCGCTCTCCCAGAAGGCTTAAATCTCATCGGGTTGGAAAAAGAGAGGAATTTTCCTTCGCCTTGCTCACCTGCCTAGGAAACCTAAACTGCATTCCTGAACCACAATTCATCTTTCTTGAATTTTTTTTCTTAAAAAAAAGAATACAGGGAATCCTCGACTTATAACAGTTCATTTAGCGGTTGTTCACAGTTACAACAGCACTGAAAAAAGCGAGTCATGACTGTTTTTCACACTTACAAGCATTATAGCATCCCCCAAACCACGTGATCTAAATTCAGACGCTTGGCAACTGACTCATAGTTACGACGGTGGCCGTGTCCCGGGGTCACGTGATCCCCTTTTGCGACCTTTAACAAGCAGAGTCAATGGGGAAAGTCCAATTCAGTTAACAATCTTGTTGCTAACCTAACAACTGCAGTGAGTCGCTTAACAACTGTGGCCAGGAAAGACATAAAATGGGGCAAAACTCACGTAGCAATTGTCTCGCTTAGCAACATAAATTTTGGGCTCAATTTGTGGTGATAAGCCGAGGACTGCCTGTGCTGCCCGTGAGGGGGACTGTTGAGGAAGTAGTGAGGCCAGCCACATCCCCTTGGGCGCCTTGCAACTCAACCCCGTTGCCTTCTGCTTTCCTCAGCAGGGAACCGGGGAGGTCCCGATTCTGCGCGGACTGAATTTCCATGCATTTCAGTTCTTGAGGGGAACGTGCACCCTTCGGAATGCTTTTCAAAACTGAAAAAACATTTTAAAACTTTTATCCGTTCAACCCCTAGGTAGGTAGCCCTAAGAAGAGCCAGAATGGGGGCATCTCCCGCTCAGGTTTTAAATTCCTTCTAATAGTAGAAATCCCTTTTTGATGCAGGCGCAAAAGGCCACCAGGCATCTAAAATGCAGCAGCAACCGTCATCCTGAGAGCTGTGGGTGCGATTCCACAGGCCCTCCCCCCTTCCTAAAAGGGGCAGCGCCCCCTGGTGGACCAGCGCATCACCTTTTTCCAGGAAGGAGTTCCCTCTTGGGGGACGAGGGGGAGGTGGCGTAGCCTCTCCTGTGCGGGACGACCCCATTGCTCAGGGTGGGCCTGGAGGGCAGCCCCCGCAGCAGCTGGTAAACTGCAGGAGAGACAGGACAGGGGTCAGATGGGGACCCCCGCCTCCCTGATCTCCTGCCCCCAGTTTAGACCCCCTAACCCCAGTTGCCCTGCACTCCACTGTGGCCGGACCTCTGGACACCCCGGGACTTGCAGGGGCCCAGTCTGCAGCCCCTCCACGGCCCGGATACCTTTGTCGGGTCTCCGCTTGGAGAGGCTGAGCCCGTTCTCCTCGCAGGTGCTCAGGCGCCGCAGGACATCGGCCAAGGCCGCCTTCAGCACCTGGATCTCGTCCTCCTGCAGCTGCAGGCGCTGCTCCAGGTAGGAGATGCGGTCGTCCACTTCCATGCCGCTGAGGCCAGACAGGTTGTCATCTGGGGAAGCAAAGGCCGTTAGGAGCAAGGAGCCTCCAGAATAGACCCCCCCAGTAAGCGTCTCCCAGCGGCTCTTTCATTTCCCCACCTTCCCTTTTTGCCCCTCAGGCACCCCAAGGACTGGCAAGGGTCCCGCTCCTCAGGCAACATCTAAGCCAGGCGGTCCAAGCTGAAACTGCCACCCTAAAGGATTTGGAAGACCATCACATTTTTTGTGTCCAGCGATGTGCAAGGCCTGCCCAGGTCATTAATTCACAGATCAACGGCCATGCCAACCCCCTCCCGATAAGTATGGCCTTATTGGCGAAGGGAGGGAAAGGGGACCGTGGGGTGAGAAGTGGGCTTCCCTTGTCAATCACGAGTCAGAGTCAGTGGGACTGGTGCTTGGCCCACCTGCTGCCTCGGTGGCTTATTGGCATTTCCACAGCAGGGAGGAGGCCCACTCAGAGCTTCCCGTGAGTGGCTTGTGCCCACCTGCCCACCCACAGGAGTGTTGCCAACTCTACCCCTGGAGGACCAGCAGCCTTCAGCGGGGGGGGGGGAGCTCCCCTCTTTTTTGATCTCTTCTGCAGTGATGGGCCCGGTGCCCCTCCCGCCTGCCTGCCTGTTGCTGCCACTCGCCTGGCACTGCCGGCCCCTCCCTCCGCCTGCCCACAACACCCCTTCCCTGCCGCTTCCACACCCAATCAGAGGCTGGTCTTGCAGCCAGGCAGAGTACCGGCCACAGATGGATGGATGGATGAACGAATGGATGGAAGCGGCAGCGGTTGGCCAGAGATGGTCCTGGGGGAAAGGGGGGGGGGGCTCCAAGTGATGGCAGGAGGGCAGTCCTGCTGAGTTGGGGTTATCCGTGCCTCCCCATGCCCCGGTCTGGGCCTGCCCCCTTTGCTGGCTGGCCTACCTCCCAGGGCTGTGAGGAGGAGGCTGCATTCGTCCCCAAGTGCCCTTCAGTAATCCCTGAAGCTGACGCACATGCGGGCAGAGCAAACGCCCTCTGAGCATGCAAAAAAGGCAGGTGATCGCAGCGGGAGGGGAGACACAAGCCTAGGACCCAAGCAGGGGGGGCAGACTGCGCTTCCTGCCCTTCCCGGCCGGCGGGTCTTCCCTGGGGCGACCCGGATTTTCCGCACGGCCGTTGCGGCCGCTATGATGAGTCGCCCCCCGCCCCGCCTCGCCCCTTTCTGAAAACCCGGGAGGGGGGTCGGAAGGAGGGGCGGCGGGGCGAGGCTCGGGCTGCCCTTTCAGGCGCGGAGCTCGGCTAGCGGGACAGGCCGGCACTCCCCACCTGCCTGCGCGGATGGGCGATCGCGCCTCCCCGGGCGCTGGGCAGCCTTGCCCCCGGCTCCCCCCAGCCTCCGCCCTGCCCCGCGCCCTGTCCTCCTCGCCCAGGCTGCGAGACTCCCGCCCGCCCGCCCGCCAGACCCGAAGCCCGATGCGCGCACCTGCCCGGGCGGGGAGGATCGGGGCCGGGCCCCTCCCCAGGGGGCCCCGGGCGGGCGGGGGGCTGACTGCGGAAGCGGGGCTGCAGCAGCAGCAGAAGCCGCGGCGGCCGCTGCAGAGGCGCCCCCACTCACCGTTGCAGAACTGCAGCAGCAAGGAGGTGTCGTAGAGGAGCCCGCAGGCGGGGATCCCCTCGGCCATGCCGGCCCCGCGACTCCCCCCCCCCGCCAGGGCCCCCGCCCGCTCCGGGCTGCTCTCCCGCGTCCGTCCTCCCGGTGCGGTCCCCTGCCCGCCCGCCTCCCGTTGCTATGGCAACCCACCTCTCTCCTGCATCCTGCTGGCCGGGGATGCCCACGGCAAAGACCCCCGGCTGGGCTCCCCTCTTTGCGCGTCCCCGTCCAACCAGCTGAGCGCCCACCCGCCGACCCGCAGGCACAGGGCAGCCCTACCTTCGGCTCCTTGCGAGCCCCACCCACCAGCCGCGGAGCTCCTCCTGCTTCCCTTCCCCATCTTCACCCCTGGAGCCTCTCTCCACTTCCCTGCACTCAAGTGCTCCCCCCCCCGAAATCTGCAGATTGCTCGCCCTGCCAAGCCCCATCTTGACCACGCGAGACTGACTTGCAACTTCGGCCCATCTGCACTCTGGCTCAGCTCCCTCTCTCTGGGTCCCAGACTTCCTCCTCTCCTCCACTGGTGCTCCTTCCATCTCTCTTCCGCTCCTCCTTTCCTGAAAGTTTCATTCTAACATTTGCTGTAGTCCTTCCTGCCCTGCAGACTCTCAATCCAAATCATTTTCTCCTTCCTTCCTTCCTTCCTTCCTTCCTTCCTTCCTTCCTTCCTTCCTTCCTTCCTTCCTTCCTTCCTTCTCCCTCCCTCCCTCCCTCCCTCCATTCAGAGCAGCACAAACCTTTCTCCATTCTGTCTCTTCTCTCTCCACCCCTCAATCTGATTTCCCCCCACTATTATCTGAACCCCAGGAGGCAAAATTCTGAAGCTAATCCAGGGGTGCTCAAGCCTTTCCGAGCATGTGCAGAGTGCCCACCACTGAGAACTGTTTTGCCTTAGTCCAGGCAGGTGTCTATTTGTTCCCCCTGGTTCGGTCCCTGGATGTACTTCTAATACTATATTTATATGCTGTAAAACGATTCCTCCACATTCGTGACTGGTATTTTGGAACCTCCTGCCACAAACAGCGAGGATAACGGGAGTCAAGAACGGGGGAGAGGAAGGGCAATGGTGCCAGTAAAATCAATGCAGATATTCCTAAATATGTGAGCTGAATATCGTCAGGGGATTTATAGGAATGACACAATGGGGAATTGTAGGCAGGACAACCAATCAACCTTGCAGCTTAGCCCCCTTTTTAAGCGAGGGATGCACTTCTATTTTTATTTCTCTGTCATCTTGGCATGACGGGGCTTAAGTGCTTCTCCAGAACAGATGTGGAGGGGATAAATATTTCATGGCCATCAGCGACTGAGGATCCTGCTTCCATTCCAGGCCTCTGCTCTTCTCTGCAGCGGACCCTCCCCCCCTGCAGCAGCCCAGATTCTTCCTGCTTCCAAGGCAGGCGACTTAAACCGCCACTCAACTCAGCCTGACGGGCCTCTGAGCTCTGTTCCCGGAGTCTCTGCTGGCTCTCCACGGGCCTGGTGGTGCTTTTATCCCAAGGGCTGATGGGGCTGCCAGAGTGGGCCTTTGTGACCCCACCTGCCCTTGGAATAGAGAAGGGTTCTAGGTTCCCAATGGGTCCCTCCTCCTGGGCAGAGCCAGTTTCTGCCAGGGCTGTTCCCCCCCCCCCAGGAAAGGAAGCACGGGAGCCCAGAGCCTGTGCAGAAAGCTCTCCTCTCAGCCTTTGACGCTCCCTGTTCTGGCAGGAAACTGAACCTGGGGGCTTGGAGGGGCCACGTGGATTTTTAATGAGTTAAATGCTAGAGGGGTTCACTTGAAAATAGTTCTTCTGGGGGGTGGTCTTCGGCTCCTACAGCTCCCCACCGCTTGAGGGTCTCTGTGGTGCCAGGTCAGAAGGAGGAGGGTGGTCCTTTTCATTCTTCTCCAAGGAGATCTGGGGGTCTGCTAGCCCCACAGCCACCCGGCTTGCCGAGGCCTCTTGCATGAGGGCCCTCAGCTTGAGCGTTGGCACTTTGAGGGTCACACACTTGAGCACCCTACGCACAATTGTTCCTTGACTGGTGAGGTTCTCTGGGTACTGGGTCCAGGCAGCTTCGCCGGGTTGCCAGTGATAGATGGCATCGTGGGTTCTGGAGGTACAAACTCCGCCGATCACGTAAATCTTCCCTTGGAAGAAAGTGGCACCGGCAAAGGCAAGTGGCACAGGCAGGGGAGGGATGGCGACCTCTTTGCTTACGATGCCAGCTTCCTGCATGAAGAAACATTTTGAGGTGCAAGGAAGAAGTTGGCTGAACCTCCGGTTCGGGTACGGCTGGGTGACCTTCCTGGAAAAGAAGCCCCCAATGACACAGATCCCAGCCTCCATAGGGACAGCAACTGCCCCGTGCAGACTAAACTCAAGCGGCACCTGCGCCCAGGTATCCAGATGGGTGTCGTAGATAAGGATGCCCTTGTAGACCACCTCATCAGAGTCAGCATCACCGCCGATCAAGTAAAGCTTGTTTTTGTACGGCGCAGAGGCAGAAAAGCGCAGGATGATGGGCAGGCTGGCAATGGAGGTCCACACCTGCTGGGCCACATCAAAGCTCTCGGCTGAGGCGAGGGGGCCGGCATCGTTCCAGCCGCTCAGGGCAAAAAGCTTCTGCTTGCAGGTTAAGAACATGTGGACGGAGCGGGGCGTTGACATGGCGGGGAGCTGGGTCCAGCAGTCGGCCGGAGAATTGTACTCGTGCAGTGCACAGGAATAGGAGCCATCGGCATGCTTTCCTCCGGAGATGTAGACCCTGTGGTCCAGGACGGAGCAGCCCGGGAGGGCCACCAGTTCCAGGGCCGGCAGCTTCGTCCTAGATCCAGTGATCGGATTCAGGCACTCCATGTAGCAGTCCATGTCTTCGCTGACCGAGAGGATGTCCCTCAAACGGGGCACTTTGATGCAGATGATCTTCTCCTGGTACATGCCCTGGCGGAGCCCCCCACTCATCTGCAGCCTCCCTGCTCCATCCAGGTCCTGCCAGTGCACCTCCAGCTGCTGACCCAGCTGCTCTGTCTCCGCCTGCACCTGGGCGACCTCCTCCTGGGTCAGGAGTGGGAAGCGGACGCACCCGAGCAGCGTCTCCAGCATCGGAAGCCGCTTGCTGGGCTCAGCCCTTGCCCACCGCTGCGCAGCCCGGAAGATGTCCATCTCTGAGGCCACCACCAGGTGGTCCGAGGAAAGGAGGCGGGTCAGGGCCCTCAGGTCGAGCTGCAAGAAGTCCTGGTGTTCAAAGAGGAGGCCAAAGTGGAGGCCCAGGTAGCGCAGTGCCCCGTGCAGCAAGGCGGGCTGGTTGTGATCGTGGCCCAGCATGTAAAGACGAAGGCAGTTCTCCGGGGAAATCCTCTCCATCAGGAATCTGCCGGGGCGGGGGGAATGGAAAGAAAGATCGCTGGAGAAGATGGCAGGAGAACACCCCACCCCACCCCAGAACCAGGAAGGAGATCAAAGAGCAGGATGGGCTGGGCTACCTGCTGATGAGTGTCAGCGCTGGGCTGAGCTGGAGCCGGCTGGCCGCGATGAAGAGGTCCTCAGCGCTTCCGGGGCTGAAAACCAGCTCTCCCGAGTAGAGGTAGCCCAAGAGATTCTGGAGGACGGAGGGGTCCATGTCCTCCAGAAGGACCTCCCCGTCCCGGGACTCCTTGAAGCCGCTTGTGAAGATGGCCTGGAAGTAGGGGCTGATGGAGGCCAAGAGGGCCCTGCGGGGGAACAGAGACGGTCAGCTTAGCCGTGGGCCTCCCTGCCCCTCTCTCTGAGCCCTGCCCAGCCGGGGGGCACCAAGACGCACCTGTTGCACGGGAACCTCTTCCCTCCGGCGATCAGAGTGGCATCGCAGAGTTCTGGCCGTTGATGCAGATGCTTCAGACCTGGGGGCGGGGGCGGGGGGGAGCGAAAATTAAGGGAGACGAGCTCCTTCTGCAGTAGGTCCTTCTGATTGATCACCGCAACAGCAAAGAGAATTTTGTGTGTGGGGGGGGGAAAAAATATCTTTTTTTCAAAGGGGAGGGAAAAGAAGTTTGTGACAAAACAGGAGCTCTGAACCTTTGCTGTCCTCCTTCCTTTTATAGGAAATTCAGCAGGATTTCCCACTGTTGGGCCGGGGCCTGTTAGGTCTGGGGGAGTGGAAGAACAGGGGGAAAGGCAGGATGAAAGCAGGAGCTCCCAGGTGTGTGGGGGGGTTCCCTTCTGTTTAGCCTGATCCCCTACTGCTGTTTGGGAAGTTCATGGCTCCTTCTGGCCACTCTGCTGGTCATTTCCTACCTCCGTAGCTGAGATCGGCCCCCGAAACCCACCTTGGCTGAAACAAGCTTTGAGAGACACGGCCGCCTCCGGCTGTTCGTCATTGGCCCCGTCTTCTTCTGCTGGATCCATTGTGGCCCAAGTCTGGAGCACCGACTCCCAGATGGCTGCCCTCTCTCCGGGCCCGTTGGTTTTCGGTTGCCCCAGAGGGTCCCCCCGACCCTCCTCCTCCTGCCCCCTCAAGATCTCCTGAGAGCCCCCTGCAGAAAAGGTCCTGGGGTCTCCAAGGCAGCCCCCACCTCACAATGGGGGCCAAAACATCCTGAACCCCTGGCCTCTTGGTCAGAATCCTGATGGGGACCACGAGGTTGAGGCTCCCTCTGACGCCCCATTGGGAAGTCGGAGACTTCTCTCCACCCATGGAGGTGCCGGAACGCCCTTCCCAAGTTGGCCTTCGACTTTGTCCTCTGGAAAAGGGCTGTTTTGGCACAGCCCCTATGATGCCCCCCAAAGGCTGAATGTTTTCTTTCCCTTCATGGGCATTAAGTGCAGGGCTGCTTACAGCTTAAAGTTCTTTGTGTAATTCCTTGCATAACTACACTGGGGAATATTTTTTGTCCTTGTGTTTGATTCAAAGAAAGGCTCTCAGATCCACTGTTATTGAAAGCACACTTTATTAAAGCCACAGAGAAGAAAAGCCGGATCTGAAATTTTGCGCCCAAAGCATCCGCTTAACTCTTCCCTTCTCCCCTGGTTATCTTTGACTTTCTGATTACATCCAAACAAATTGTTTTGCTAACAGCCTCTGGCTTGGCGGGCTGGGCACATTTTCCCCTGCTTGAAGCAAAAAGATATTGACATAGTAACTTTTGCTTTGGTAAGTGTGGACAACCAGCACTGAGAGGAAGTGAAACAGTAGAACAGCAGGCTGTGGAATTCTGGAAGTTGGTCCACAAGTCTTAAAACTACCAGAGTTGGATACCCCTGAAGTAGACCGATGCTGCTATGAAGCGATGTTGCCACATATCCAAACAGAAGGGAAACCCCCAACCCAGAGGGCGCAAGGGGGCAGGAAGAGGAACTCCGATCCTGCCCCCCCCCTTGCAAGTCAGCTTCACCCCGGCTTTCAAATCAGCAATTTACGTCCTTCCTCCAGACCTCCTTGAAGTTCCTAGAATATATTGCATTCTGCAAGAATGATTGATAACCTTCCAACAATGGTTTATTTTACGATTATATTCAAGAATATCCCTGGGGTTCCTCATACTCATTTTTCGCCAGGTCAGAAAAAGAATTTCAGAGACAAAACTGGGAAGATTGAGAGAAAGCGAGCCCGGGTTCCAGGGATTCTGGAGACTCTGAGGAAAACTGGATTACGACAGAAGAGTTTGTCACACGGGCGCCGTAGTGCCCTGCCCAGAACCGTGTGTCTTTCCCTCTATGTCTAAAGCGTACGTAGCGGACTCCGCGGCCGTATCTCCTGAACGTGTGGGTTACCTGGAGAGACAGAGAAAGGAAGAGACAGAGGTTCAGCCATCTTTTGGACTCAGGAAAAGAGTTTTATGAAGCAGAAGCTTCTTCATTTATTTGTCATTTATTGATATTTTTTAGAATACCTTATTTACAATTTTAATCATTCATACCAGGAGCTGTGATGGCACAGTGACTAGAATGCAGCATTCCAGGCACACCCTGCCCACTGCCGAGAGTTCGATCCTGGTGGGGCTCAAGGTTGGCTCAGCCTTCCATCGGTGAGCCACTTAGAGAGGGCTGTAAAGTACCTCGAAGCGGTATATAAGTCCAAGTGCTGTTGCTATTTATTTGTTACGATCTTATTGCCATTGTATTTAACATGATCTCATCCAGTTACTTGCACTTTGGGGTGCTGCCCTTCTGAAAACTGGGGTAGCCTGCGAACTTGTTGCAAAAGCTCCTTAAAGCGCCACCGGCTCCCATCCAGGAACACGGAGTTTCTGATTCTGAGCTGCTTTAAGGTCTACTTGGTCCTCGATGTACGACCTCAACTGAGCTCAAAATTTCCATTGCTAAGTGAGGCAGTTGTTAAGTGACTTTTGCCCCATTTTGCTGCCTTTTTGTCACAGTTGTTAGAAGAATCACTGCAGTTGTAAAGTGAATCATGCAGTCATTAAACAAATCTAGTTTCCCCCATTGACTTTGCGTGTCAAAAACAGCTGGGAAGGTCGTAAAAGGGGAATCACGTGACCCTGGGACAGCTTAACTGTCAAGATGAAGTGCTTGTTACCAAATGCCTGAATTTTGATTATGTGACCGTGAGGATGCTGCAACTGTCATAAGTGAAAAATGGTCACGTCAGTTTTTCAGTGCTGTTGTAACTTCAAACAATTATTAAATGAATGGTTTAATAATTAAATCGAGGACTACCTGTAGTATAATACCTATGAACATTTTAATTGATTCTGCTTGAATGTTGCTACTGTTGGCTTGGTTTTTCTTTTTTAAAAAACCCTATTTGTGCAACCCCTACATACAAAATCTATATTCTTCTTTCCTGGCTATTTTATTTTAAGACGCTTTAATTCCCAGAACTTAGTAAAATGTGTGTAAGACAAGGAGAAAGGGAAAAAGAGGAAGAAAACAGCAATCAGCCCAAGGGCAGTGACATTCAAGAGAGAGTTGAAGCCAACGTGGCAAGCAGCACCTTGTGGTAGGAGGCATCATTCCCGTTAGGGATGGGATCTGGTTTGGCTTCAAAAAGATCAATCTTCTTTCTTTTATTAGCTGCCAAGAGGGCAACAGAGAGCTCATATACACAGCCGCAGTCCTGACAGCCACCCCACCTGCAAGAATCAGGGAGATGAAATGACAAAGCTTAAGTGACAAGCATGGACAACCAGAAGCACTGAAAACCTCCTGTGGGTGTTCAATGTCCACAATAGCAACCTGCCTGTCCAGGCTTTGGACACTCCATCTGACCACACATACCGATGTTCCTCCTTTGCTCTGAAATGGGAAGACCGAATAACTAAGTTGGAAGGAAACTTGGAGGTCATCTAATCTAACCCATCTTCTAGCAGGAGACCCCATACTCTTCTGGACAAATAGTTGTCCAATCTCTTCTTAAAAGCCTCCAGTGTTGGAGCACCCACAACTTCTGGAGGCAGGTAGTTCCACTGGTTAATTGTTCTCACTGTTAGGAAATTTCTCCTTAGTTCTAGGTTGTTTCTCTCCTTGATAAGTTTCCATCTGTTGCTTCTAGTCCTGCCTTTGGCTGCTATGGAGAATAGCTTGACTCTCTCTTCTTTGTGAAAGCCCTTTGAATACTGGAGCATTGCTAGCGTGTCACCCCTAGTCTTTATTAGACTAGACAATTCAGATAGTGTCACCTGAGGACCAAGGAGCCCTGTGCCGTTTCTCTCTCTTCAGGCACCCAAGGAGCCAGGAGGGAACAACACTCACCAGTCAGTGACGACAATATCAGGCTGGTAAGTGTCCAGCAGATCCTGCCAGAAACCCTCCTTCAGCAAATCGATCACCTGCTCCTTCTGACACCACCTTGATTGAGAAAAGAGGGTGGAGAAGAGAGGCAGAGGTGAAAGGCCCGTCTGACCTGGAGCCAGAGTTCACTCGATAACGCAAAGCCCTGAAATACAGGTAGTCCTCAACTTATAACCGCTTGTCTGGTCTGGTGGCCTAGTGGTAAAGACGCTCGCCTCTCTTTGGAATGTTGAGAGTTCAATTCTGCGTAACCGCAGATGCTTCTCTATCAGGGCGCAAAAAGAAAACGTCTACTGTGACCTTGAATTAGGCATCAGGAAGGGCAATAAGAAATGTTGGGCCCGACTGTGGCCTTAAGTCAAGAACTACCTGAAGCAGAGGATGATGTCCATACTGATGGGAAACCTCCACAGGATTCTTCCCAAGCGACCCAGAAAAGGGGAAACCCAGGACTCACCGAAAGGAGGAGGCAAAGCAGGTCTGGGCCTCGGCGTCTTCCAGGGGGGCCCGATTGGCTTCCACGTTCCACCCGTCATTCCATTCAGGAAACTCGCATTTGACAGTCCAATGTTGGAACTGCTCTACAGGCACAGAGCGAGGCTTTTGGAGGCAAAGCAAAGCTTGGCACCTTCTTTCTGCTCGCTTCCCAGCTGGCTACAGCGACTTCAGGAGCAGCACGTGCTGGGCGAGACGCTGCCGTCGAGGCGACTCCAAAGGAAGGGAGCCTGCGGAGCACCGACCGACCCCGAAGCGGCAACCCGCAAGCAAAGCGAGCCCCCCCGGGGAAGCCCAGAAGGGAGGGGAGCGGCGCCCGAGATGCAGCTAGGGCCGCCTCCTGCCTCCTCCTCCGAGCGACGGGGCGGCCGGGCTGCTTACCTGTCCCGCAGGGGTTTCGGATGAGGTTCCTGCCCAGCGGCCGCAGGACGCCCAGGCGGCTCCAGTCCAGGCGGGGAAAGCGGCCGACGGCCTCCAGGGCTGCGCGCATCGAGGGCTCCCTCCGCCACTGCAGCTGCCAGGCGGCCGGCCCGTCCACCAGGTCCCTCCAAGACCGGCAGACCAGCCGGCAGCGCGTGGCCAGCATCTCGGGCGGCAGCCAGCTCAGGATCAGCGCCAGCACTTCGTTGGGCAGCCGCGCCCAGTCCGGCGGGGGCAGCCCGGCGAGGCTTCCGACAGCCCGGTGCGCCTCTTCCTCCGCCATCTTCTGCTCCCTGGCCCGGGCCGTCGCGGCGCCCATCGCGCTCCCGGGCCGAGCTCCGGGGCGGCGCCCGCGCTTCCTTCCCGGGACACCCCGTCTAGGCATTTCCGGTTCTTTCAGCTCGCTCCGCGGCGATTCCTCCCGCTAGCGCGGCCCGCGGCGCTCTCATTGGTGGATGGTCTGGGCCGAGGCGCGATTGGACAGCGGCTGGCCAATGAATCCCGGCCTCCTTCGTGGAAACCCCCGGCGGGAGAGGCGACGCAGTTTTTCGGATCCCGCCGGGTCCCTGTGCCCGACCTGCACAGGGTTCTGCTGGTCGCTGCTGCGGGGTCTCCGCGTTCTGCGCCCGCTGCGCTACTCGGACCGACGACTCTCGCCAGAAGGCTCCGTGTCCCCGGTTGCGGTGTCTTGCAGGTCCCCGAAAGAAGGCAGACCCTCTCCCTCCCCCGGGTAAGCGATGTCCTCCGCGAACGAGGGTGCGGCGTCTGGACGGGGATGCCGAGCCCCGGGACGGTCCGCTGCTGTCCTGAAGTGGCTCCGCCGTGTCCAGCCGACGCCAGGTTGTGCCTCCGGCTCCTCTGATACAGTTTCTCAAACTTGGCCACTTCCAGCTGAATGGACTTCAACTCCCAGAATGCCCTTGTGGCTTCTCCCCCAAGGCCCGCCCGCCCGGCAGCTGCTGTCCGGGTGCCCAGGTTTGGAGCCTGCCCGCCCGGCTCGGCCTTCGCGGGAGGGGCTGTTCTGAGCCGCCGGCTCCTCCGCGCTTCCAGGCCGCTCCAGCCGGGCGACGGGCAGCCCGTCTGGTGGGCGAGGGCGGCTCGTTCCCGCGCCGAGCTTTGGGCAGCCTCGGGTGC